CAGCCATGTTTAAAAAGAAAAAATTATGATCCTCCTGGTAATCGCCAAAGATGCTCCCTCTTTCTCTTTCCCTTGAGTTCTCTCTCTCTTCCATTCTTTTGCTACAACCTGCTCCACTTTCTGGGTTCATATTCTAGCACATCACAATTATTTACCCTTAACAAAACTTACCAGGGAAATATATTTGTTTTAGCCTTTTTACTACATGAATGCCAAAGATTTTCTAAAGTATACTGTGTTTAGATCAATTTCATATCTTGCAGGTAGGTTTAGTTTCATTTTATCTTATCTTCTTATCTTATCTCATTATATTGTCATCATTGTATTTATGTATATAAATATAGAGTATAGAGACTTTGACAGATGATCAAACTCTACTTACTTTCTCACCATCTGGCCAATCGCTGTGTGACTGGCAATAGTTGATGTCTGCCAGGAAATATGTCAACTGTTATATCCAAGATGTAGAAAAGAATGAAAGAACATAAAAAGATGGAAGTGTTTGAATAGGAAATATTCTGTGAGGAAAGACACAAAATATTTTAATCCACAGAGCAGACAACAAGAGAGCAGAAAAAACTGCAGTTAGAAGTCATAAGTTACAGTGCCCCTCCTGCTGAGCCTAAACTCTGTTTCTTCTTCTCTGCAGTGTTGATGACAGAGGAGGCACTTCCTACTAGTAAGCAGGTGTCATGCACAGAAATGTGACCCCGACACAGACTCAAAACCCATCTACAGCTCCAAATGAATCAACAGTCAAGAATATTAATCCATCTTTGAACCTCTGAACCCTGTTGATGATGTTGTTGATGCAGAAGGAGAGACTTTACATCAAACTTGAATGCTGATGGTAAAATGTGATATCATAATGCAGCACAGGCTTCACATTAGGGAATGAAATGAGACAGAACGTAGAACATGACACAGGGGTAGCACAGCACCGTGCCACAGCAGCAACAGCTAAATGAAAGGGTGCCCCCTATGGATAGTCAGATTTAATCACAAGTAAACAGAAAGGGGAAAAAAAAGATCACAGTTTTGCTTTATGGCTGACAGGTGATCTTAAGCAAGTGTGAAGAAACATCAGCAATAAATCTTCTTAAAGAGCCAAAATTCTGTAATGCAGATTCCTGTTTTTATTTTTAGATGAAAAGTTCTGGATTTTATTGACCAAAGACTGATAGACATAAATTGTGAGCGCACACTGTACGAGTAGAGGTGGACAGAAGAGTCAGTGTTCAAGGTTTACAATTAGCTCCAGATGAAATGAGTTATGGTGGGATCCCCATGGTAATAAATCATGTATACCAGACTTGGATGACAATTGTTTTCTCACCTCCACCTTTCCTCCTGTGAGTGTAGTCGCATGTTGGACAAATCATTGCGTGAAATGTTAGTTTATTACCAATAAATTAATACATTTAAATCACTTGGACCAAAACCAGGGTAATTTGGGAAATAGAAACATGGTTATTGCAAAATAAAACAACTGCCCCACTCTGTTTTACTGTTGATGAAGTCAAGCTGAAGGTTTAACATGATAGACAAAGTTGGCAGTGCTGCCCGCGAATTCATGATCAGATTTTGAAAAATTTAGGAGCTTTATAGCTCCCAAACACTCTGGGCCCACTGACAGTACTGGACAGATTTGAATGGAGAGCAGTGAAACCAGTTTTGGACCAATAAAATACTACTACAAGGCTACTTCCTGTTGGCACCAGCGTCTACTGCGCATGATCGTGCAGCATAATGTTGGGTCAGATGTGCGACCAGGCTGGGCCAGTTAAGCCTGGTCCCCACCTTCACCAGCTTTATAAACTTTGTCAAAAAATACTCCATTAGCTTTCTATTATAGTCAATAAATTTGCAAACAAAAACTTCTCTGGAGACGGTCAAGAGTCGGTGCGAAAGAGTTTATTCCAAAACAGGACACATAAACCCGTACAACATCCCAGCAGGTCGGAGGATGAAGTCAACCCTATGGTCTGCAGACAGTCTTATATATCCCCTCTGGGCTGGTTTGCCCCCTCCTTTCCTCATGATGAACTTCTTTTTCTCTGTTGTTGTGGTGTTTTTACCAATTAACACTGTTCCCCAGCTGTCATTTATTACTGGATTGTTAACTTTCTACATCTTTATACTACTGGATAAGAAGTTCATCATTTACATTTCAACTTAAGTCTCACCGTATTTTGTAAAGGTTACGCATGCTTAATTTGACACACAATTATTTAACAATTTAATATAAGAATAACATAAGTAAAGTTGCATTTTTCATTAATGCTTGGTTTCTTACAGCAATCTTGATGTTATGCTGGCTGCTTTCTGCTTATTATCTCTCTGTCGTGTTTTTATCAAGCATCTGATGGTTTTTTGGTCATCCTGTCTGTCCTGATTTCTGTCAGCCTCTGTCGCTTTTCTGCAATGCAAAAATTCCTTAAGCAAATTCACTCAAAGCTCACACAGGCTATAATAACCAGAGGTTGGAAGTTGACAATCAAACCCCTTAATCAGTAATTAAGCATGTAGTCTTAATATTAGCAGATTAACACATCAGCAGTTCCTCATGTAATCACAACAGTAGGTAACAGCAGAATGAAGCATGCACTGTCACAGTGTCAGCAGATCTTGCACACCTGCAGCCTCTCCTATAGTCATAATCTACAGTAGATGACAGTTGGACAAGGCGAACCACCTGCAGCCACTTCCTGCAGTCATTCCTCCCACTCAAGGATCTAACCACAGTGAGCTTGTTTCTGTATTCATGACTACAGTTCACTACTTATAAGTAAAAACCGAAGCACATCTAGGTAAAAAGAAAATGATTAAGAATGATTAATGATTAATACTAATAAAATTATCAAAAATGATGATATAAGAATGATTACTTATTGATACTGATTAAAGATAATAAAACTGATTAAAATGATTATTAATATTTATTAAGGATAATCACTGATGACTGTTTCTTGACTGATGTCTAATTGTTTATCTGCAATGCTCCCCCTCTCTGTGTCCTAGGCATGCCCTCTGCTTTTTTAACCAGAAACCTGACTTTGTGGAATAAGCTGGTGTCTCTTGTGCTGTGTGCTATAGATAGGACCTTCTTACTGTATTGATGTATGCTTTGTAACACAATATTCACTAATTCTGCTTCTACATTTTCCTTTGCTGGTGATTTTTTTGACCACACACACTCAGAGCTATAGAGTCTGAACACTGTGATCTTAACTTTACACTATAAAATAACACTCTAAATGATGACAATAGCAATAGAGTTTTGACACTGTAATCTTAACTTTACACAATACTTTAAATGATGCCAATGCAGACCACCTTCGCTCTAACAATATATTCTCAACAATAACATTTAATGATGTAGAACAATGGCAGAAACACCGTAATTCTGGTAGCTGCAGCAATAGAGAAAGTCTTAGATCTTTGAGTTCAGTTCATGATGAATGGGGGTAAAAACCAAAGTGTTGCGTTTATAATTTTGTTCAGTATATATATTGAAAAAGATTTTGATTCACTTTTTGTGACTCACATACAATATTAACAGGCACCTGCCAGCCAATCAGATTCATGTACTTTCAGTTGCTATGGTATGTGACCAGCACAATGCAGAGAAAAGGTATTTTCCAACTCACAAGATGTTTAAATTCTGTGAGAAAACCGCATGTAAGGAAATCCGGTATATACTTTCACTTTACTCACACATACAGACAATTGTCGTCATCATACCACACTGGTTTTCTCTACTGGGAGGTCAGGGAGAGCTCAGGTGTGTTAGCATTGTGCTGATATATCTAGGAACCAGAGAGAGACGGACTCAAGGCCTCTGGACCACATCAATATTGCAGCACACAGGGCCAGAGAGGAGCCAATCAAATATTCATTCATCACTGCTCCTCTCTTTCTTTCTCCAGCTCTGGTTCTCTCCAGCTAGCCTGTAACACACTGAAACAGAAAACACAGTCACACACAGTGTTTACCTCTGTGTAGACGCTCTGCTTGTGTATGCAGTTATTCAGAGTTTCTGGGGGAGAGCTTGGGTTAAGTGTTACATGGAGCAAGAGCTCCTTTTGGGGTCAAATGCAGAACAAGGATGACTTTACTCTTGTGTAAAGTGTAGTCTGTTCTTTACTGCAAGTACTAATCCTGCAAATGCACATACTCACAGTGTTGAAAGAAGTACTCACATCCTTTACTTAGTGAAAGTACCATAATGAAAAAATACTCTCCTGTATCTCCTCCAAGTACAGTATAAGCAGTATGTTGTACTTAAAGTAAGAGTAATCCATTCAAAGACATTTTATTTTTTAATTCATTACCATCCAAACAACACGTTGTCGAAGTAGAACATATTTTAACACCTGAATATACTGTTGGGTAGCATATGTTAAAATCTCGTTCTGATGAGTAACTATACTGTACTGTATATGTTGATGCTGAGATGTGTTTTTATGTTGCTGCAATGCAGAAAATTACTGGAACAGAAAGTTTTCAGGAATTTTTGAGCTTTTAGGTTTTTAATACAACTTTAAAGAGAAACCTCACAGCAGTTTTTGTTGATCATCACATCAGTAATGATCTGCAAAAAAATGTTATATTATATTTTTGTGTATATATAAACTATACTGGCTGTTTGTAAGTTATGTTGCAAGGAGATGTGTGATGCCTGATCGCTTCTGTAATGCATTTTACATTCATATACAGTGCATGTGCGTTTACACATACACAAATTCTGTTATATTTGTGTGTGGACATTTCCACAAGGGGGAGACAAAGCTTGAACTTTTCCTGCTGGGGAGGAAGTCAGTTTATTTCCACTTACTGCCTGTTACCTCTTTGTGAGTAAAACTTGAAAGCTAAAAGATTTATCAGTGTAGTTTAAACTACTATTTCACACATGTATCAGTTCAGATTGGGTTATATATTAGTTTGATCCACACAATCCTGGTAAGTCTTACATATGCCAAGTAAGAACACCGACACTATTCATTGTTTTACAGTAGTTTTTATGGGTTTTGCAATGAAAATAAATAAAGTGAAAAAGACACAAAAACAAGTTGTAAAGTTGTTGATTTTACAGACAGTTGCTACAACTGATTCGTGTGTCATCTTTGGAGTCGCATGGTCAGGTACAGGCATCCAAAAATTTATCAGACAATGTCCAGAGATAAGCGAGAGCTGTAATCTGCAATCAACAAGAGGAAGAATATTTCAGTTGCATACGAATATAGGTTAAAGCTCAAATGGGCAAAAACAAATATACTCACACACACTTCCTTAATGTTCCTTCACATCATCGGTAGGCTACAGTAAATAACAACTTTCGAGTTTGTGGTTTGTTCTGTTTAACAGGTTCCTTGTCCAAAGTATATTTTTGTAGATTTTCATTTAGATAGTCAAAATCAGCCACAACATTTTGTTGAGATACAAATGTTAACTGGTAAATGTTAAATTGGTGTTTAAGACCAGATTTCTCAAACTGGTCAGATCCTCACACAGAGGGAAACAGAGGGCTTAATAATGTTTGAGCCCAGATTGGACAGCTTGTAAAATATCCGTTTTTATCTGCTGGTAATAAAAAGACAGGACTGCATTTACTACCACTGTACAACAAATAGCCCCTCTAGGATTATAAGATATCCTTAATCAATTAATGATTAACCAATGACAGAGGTGAAATTGAAAGCAAATTCTGACTTGTTGAACAAAACCACAAGTCATGTACAGTGCGTGTCAGGGTTTGGTATGGGTGAAGCAGGTAGTAGGTTGGAGGACCCAAATGCAGGACACGAAAGCCAGCAGGAACAGTTCAGAGGGGTTTTAATAAGCAAACAAAAGCCGAGCACACTTACAACAGAGTGGCTGATTGACTGAGTCCAAAAGCAAAGGCTGTCCAACAGAAATCCAAAAGGGTGAAAACCAGAATCCAAAAATGAGCAGGGTAACAGGGAGACACGGCGAGTAAGGCTGAAGACACGAGAACAAACTGCAACACAGGGTGACAACATACAACAGGAGACCTCACAGCAACAACAGGAGACAGCATGCAATGACCCAACAAAGACAAGACAGAAACACCAGGTATATATACACACACACACAGGGACTAACGAGCAGGGCAGGAGCAACACAGGTGAAGGACATGAGATTAACGAGGCAGGCAGAGAGACAACCGGGGGAACAGACGGAACACAGGTTACTGAACACAAAACAGACCAGAGTGAACACTTAACATGAACTAAGGTACAGGACTGGGAACAAGGACAAAGAACTAAAACGCAGGAACAAGAGCAAGGCAGTGACTAAGAAACAATATAACAAGTAGACTACCAAACCAATATCAAAACAACACAGGACTACGAGCTAGAACACCAGACAAGACATAAACACTAAGGACAAGGAAACAAGAAGAACAGGAAAACAGAAGGACACCAGAAACAAATGGCAAAAACTACAACTCATGACAGTGCGGGAGATCTCTAGCCACTAACTTAAAAGATTTGAAGCAGCATTACGTTAATTCATTTAGCTGATGCTTTTTTCTTTTAAAACAACTTACAATTACTATATATGTCAGAGGTTGCACGCCTTGAGGAACTAGGGGTAAAGGGTCTTGCTCAGGGACAAATAGGTGTCTCACAGTGGATTTTAACCCAGGTCTCTCACACCAAAGGTATGTGTCTTATCCACTGCACCATCACCACCCCAGCAATCTGAAGGAAATTGATAGGGTAAGTCATAATTTTCTTTATGAAAGTTACTAAGATTGTCATTTATGTTTGGAGACTTTCAGAGATCATGTGTCTCTGAGCTGCAACCACAGCTTTTGTTCAAGCTGCCAGCAAATATTCTGGGAACAAGCTGAAAAGGGGTTGAAATTAAATGAAATCTAAACAAAAGCCTTCCAGTGCTTTCATGTTACCTGGATATATCTACATATGGGTTAAACACAGCCATTGTTTATGGCATTTTATGAGCATTTTTATTTTTCTTTGCTGAGTGAAAGAAAATTACAGATCAGATTTTTTTTTTTTTAAGGGAATTTGCCTTTTGTGTTTGTCTTCCTACAGACACCTGTAAATGGAAACAGTCCGGTAATGACTCGCTGTAGACTGTATATAAAAAGGACTCAGCGGCATCTGCTGGCGACGAGATTACATGACATCACTTCCTGCTGTTGGTTTTGACATTGTTGAACAGAGCTGAGGACATTACAGGGTGAGAGATCTCTGCTGGAAAACACATATTTGGAAGATTTTAGGCACTCAAAGGAAGAGATATTAACTTGGTCGGTCTTACTGTAAGTCTAACTTGCATGTCAAATGGCTGAGAGAGCTCTTGTTGAACGTTACCTGAACTGCCACGTGTGTTCAGAGACTTTCAGAGAGCCTGTGTCTCTGAGCTGCAACCACAGCTTCTGTTCAAGCTGCCTGCAACAATTCTGGGAACAAGCTGAAAATAAAAACTGTCCCATTTGCAAAAGAAAATCATCAAAGGAGTATCCACATGTGAACTTTACACTGAAAGAACTGGCTGACTCCTTTGCTGGGAGACAGAAAGCTGGATCACCTGAGGCAGGACAAGGAGAGAAGAAGGTGGAGGTGGTGTGTAGTAAACATCAAGAAGAGCCTAGATTATTCTGTGAGGACGAGCAGAGAGCTGTGTGTCCTGTCTGTGAGTTTTCTCTCCACAAGAGTCACAAGGTCGTTCCTATAGAACAAGCAGTCAGTGACCTGAAGGGCCAGCTGAAATCTGACTTAGAGTCTCTGCAGGACAAGAGGGACAAATACAAACAAGTGGAGAAAACATACAATGAAGTGATTCAACACTCCAAGAAGCAGCTGTTGTCCACAGAGAGGCAGATCAGAGCCGAGTTCAACAAGCTCCACCAGTTCCTGAAAGAGGAAGAGGAGTCCAGACTGGCAGCTCTGAGGGAGGAAGAGGAGCAGAAGGGGGAGACTGTGAGCAGAGAGATGAAGAAGATTCAGGAGCAGATCTCCTCTCTGTCAGACAGTATCTCTGCTGTTGAAGAAGACCTGCAGAAACCCAGCGTGCCATTCCTCAGCAGTTATAAAGCCACTCAGACCAGAGCCAGAGTCCAGCGCTCACTGTCAGATCCACAGCTGCTCTCAGGAGCGCTGATAGATGTGGCCAAACACCTGGGCAACCTGTCCTTCAGAGTCTGGGAGAAAATGAAGGACAAGGTCCACTTCAGTCCTGTCATTCTGGACCCAAACACTGCAAATCCCGGTCTCTATCTGTCTGATGATCTAACCAGTGTGAGACGTGGAGACACATATTGGCAGCTGCTTGACAATCCAGAGAGAAACACAATGTATGCCACTGTTCTGGGCTGTGAGGGCTTCAGCTCAGGGAACCACAGCTGGGAGGTGGAGGTGGGAGACCACCCTGTCTGGCTTGTGGGTTTGGCTAAAGAGTCAGTTGATAGGAAAGGAAAGCGAAATGCATCACCAGAATTTGGAATCTGGTGTTTATTGCATCAAAATGGAATATACACTGATGGAGCTGGAACGACTGTCAGAGTGAAGAAGAGTCCCCAGAGGATCAGAGTCCAGCTGGACTATGACAGGGGGGAGGTGTCCTTCTACGACCCTGAAGTAATGACTCACATCTACACTCACAGAGACACTTTCACTGAGAAACTCTTCCCATATTTCAGTATTGCTGCGGCTGGTGATGCTAAAACCACTGATATCAAAATCTGTCACACTGAGATGTCTCTGTGACATTATTTGTTTCAACTTTTACCATCAAAATGTTTGCATCATGATTGCTTGATATTTATTACACTCTAGACTCATACTTTACATCTAAACGTCTCTTATTATTATTTTATATGTAATGGTGACGAGGGTTACAGATATTTTAAAGGTAATTAAGACTTTACTTAGACTATAATGTCTGTGTAGAAAATCAGAATAAATAAAGGTTAAACCCTTTTCAAATACCAAATACTGAAACTATGTTATATCATCTGGCCTTGAACATTCATACAGCTACAAATCAATTTGAATTCTAAAGTATTAGCCCGGTCAGCAGAATCTTGACTTAATTTAGACGAAGAGATTAGATTGGAGAAGTATTCACTATACTAATATGCTGTTTCCAATTGTGTGATTTAATCCTTATCAGACATCAGTTTTAGTTTGAGATTTCTGGATCTTCTGATGAGTTATTTCAGTTTCTCTACACTTTACACTCTCTAGAGTCTCAGATGTACAGTAAAACACCTTCTGGCTCTGATTGATTGTTTTTTGTTGTTGTCCAAGGTCACAGAAGTTGTTTTTCACACCTGTTTCTACTGTCTGAAGTGAATTATGCAAAGTGGTTTTCATCTTCTGAAATTCATTTTTGAAACACTGAAGGACTCTGTTTTGTTTTGTTCAGTCAAATGTAGGTGTTAACACCTGCTTTAGATATTCATATACATATACACATATATATATATATATATATATACACATATACACACACACAACTTTTCCACAATGGAAAACCAAAAAAAGGCGAGTAGAGTTGAGCTGGTACCATGCAGTGGAAAAGGCCCTTTAGATTACATGTTACAGGGTGAGGCCTTATGAAAGAGCTCCACTAAGGTGCTTCTGTAGAATATTCCAGACAACGTGATGTTATATGGACATGTGGCTGTAGTATGTAGAGGAGTCAGAAGATGTGGGAGATGTGTGAAGAAGAACTGTGAAAGTCAGGAGTGTGAAGGGGAGCAGGAACAAGTAAAGTGCATTCACTGTGCGGGAAATCACCATGCGGGGTCAGCACAATGCCCGGAAAAATAAAACAGATAAAAATGAGTAAAATCATACGCCGAAGCTATCAAGAGAGCAGAAAGAAAAGATGAAAGAGCAGCAGTGCAAAAGGAACAGGATACATTTCTGGCATTTGTTGCCATGGTGCTAAATTGTGCCGAGCAAGTCAGAGAGGTTTAAGGTGGTGTTGCATGCAGCAAGAAGATTCTTGGACATTGTGGACTTAACAGGAGAAGAAATAGACATTACACTGAGGGAAGGATTTACACCAACTCAGACAACTGAGTCTGAGTTGTAGTAGTGAATGGAAATCCTTTGGGTGGGCACTGTCCAAAGATCCTGATACAGGGCGTGCAGGTGCAGCAGTCTTTTTCCCAGCAAGTGAGTCATATATCAAGAAAAGAATATCAGATCATGTCTCAGTGTATACCACAGAGTTGACTGCAATAGTACTGGCCCTGCAGTGGATAGAAGAGAGGGAAACAAATAGTCATTGCATCTGATAGCTTGTCTGCTCTAATGAGTATTAAATCTGGCAAATCATCATTTAGATCCAAAATCCTCAATGACATATTCCTTATATTGTACAGGATGGAGCTAAAGGGATGATCCACATGCTTCCTTTGGGTTCCTGCTCATGTTGGTGTGGAGGGAAATGAGCAGGTGGATATTCTGGCCAAAGGAACACTCAAAATCAAACATGTAGACCTAAAAACCCCATTAACTAAAGATGAAGCTAAGACATTTATCAGGACCTATGCACAGTCAGTTTGGCAGGAGCATTGGGACAATAGTGAAACTGGAAGGCACCTATATAATGTACAGAGACAGGTTGGTGCCGGAAGGATGGTGGGCTGGAAACGTAGGGAAGAAAATATAATCACTCGTCTGAGAATAGGACATACAGGTCTCAACCTTTCATTATATAAAATAGGTAAGCACCCAACTGGGAAATGTATATATTGTAACCAACTAGAAACGGTTGAACATGTTCTCCTTCAGTGTAGCAGATACACTATCAATAGGCAACGCCTGTTTCAGTCATTACCGAAGGCAAAACATCATGATATCTCATTGGCGGGTCTCTTGGGGAAAACAGCAGGCCAGATATATTGTCATATAATTAAGTTTCTTAAAGAAACTGAGTTAGGAAAAAGAATTTAATTTATGTTTGTTTTTTTTGTTTTGTTTTTTGTTTTTGTTTATTTCATTTATTTCCTGCTTAATCTCTCGTTCCACACTCCAGTCCAGCTTGTGGCGGTAATGCACCGTTAAACTGGTTTGCCAACCGCCATTAAACCCTAAAGAAGAAGAAGAAGAAGAAGAAGAAGAAGAAGTCTGTCAGAGCTGAACTGGGAGGTAAACAAACGGCCTCTACCTCCGGTGCTCTTCTAATAATGGTATCCATTACTTGGACACTTGACTAAAAATTTGATGCAACGTTATTTCCCGCAGATGCGTTTTTTTCCAGCTTTGTCATTTTGCAGTCGTCAGTTCTACGAATAATTACACAGCCAAGCATGCTAACAGCTAACAGCTAATAAATGAAGCTAGGTTAGCTACAGAAATGAAGAAATCACGCTGCTACGACACAGCGTGCCGATGTGTAACGTTATAAGTTATGATTATACCTACAACGATTTAGCTTAAAATCCCCCAAAGTAAGTATAACTGTAAAATTTGGGGCAAATAAAAAACTATGCTGCAATTCAAAACGGTTTATGCAAATGACGCAGTAACGTTAACGTTACGACTTTACGTACGAGCTTTTAATTAAAACCTGAAAAAAAAATTTATCTGCATGGCTGGGCAACGTTACTACAAGAGGTAAGACAGGAAATGTGTGTTTTCAAATTACAAACTACTAAAGCCATGTGTGAAAACTCAACATTGTTATTTCACTCGGGTGTTTGACCTTCACTGTGCGTGCAGAGTTCGACACTTAAAGTTTACGTTCATCTGCTGAAGGAGGAAGGTTTGTGTGTCTGTGCTCACCTTAAATCTGAGTTTAACAAGTGTACCCATGAGCATGGTTTTGAGACCTCACAACGAGTTTAAGACTCAGTCGTGGTGCTGTGTGAATCTTGCACAAGTGTGATGTGAAAACTTTTAACATCCAGCGCGCGCGCGCACACACACACACCCACCGAGTAAGGACTTATGAGTATTAGGAGGCATCAGCTGTTCTGTAACGGGTAACGTTTTTGTGAAAAAGGCACACATTATTTTCATGTTTGTTAAATTACAGCTGGAGTGAACTATTTCAGCATTCTCAGGCCATTTGCCTTTTCTAAATATATGGCTTTTAACAAACCGTACCAGTTGGTTGATTATTTGATTATTTGACATTATTATGACCTGTTAATTGTCATAGTCATGTTCAAGTAGAGCTGGGCGATATGGCCAAAAATGTTATCATGATAAAAGATTTCATATCATTTGATATCAATTATCACGATATATGTCAAATTAAGTTTAACGGCTGATTTTTTTTTCTGGAGTGAAAATGACAAATGACACCAGATGTTTAATTATGTGATTAAACTTTTCTTTATGGTCAGAAACACTTGATGCTAAACAGTGAATCACTTAACAAATCTGAGGTAGAACATTCAAAACTGTGATGATAAAATCTTTTTCAACAAATATGATTAGTAAATCTTTTTTCAGTCCCTTATCCTCAACAAAATAAATATTTTTGATAAAAATATTATAGTGATAATTTGTTCGTGATTCATGTGATTCATTAACATTTGATGGTTCCAGCTTCTCAAATCAATAATCAGTTCTAGAGCTGAATCTGTTGGTGGCTTAATTGATGAGTCTAGCAACAGATTTTTAAATATTTTTTTAATCAAAAAAGGTTTTTCTAATGCTTTTTTTTTCATCTTATACCATGGGAAGCACAATCTTTGCGTTTCGGACAGTTTGGTGGACAAAAATATTGAATATGTCCCTTTTGGCTCTTACAGTTTTATTACATGCGTTTGCACTGTTTTCTGGCATTTTCTTGACACAGCTGTTAATATACTGGTCGAAAAAATTATTGGCAGATTAATTGTTCATAAAATAATTGTTAATATCTTTCTATATATTTTGTTATGATGTTCTGAAATTTTACCTATTATCCAATCTATTGAATAAAAAAGTTTAGTATCCAATCGTATTCTTCTCTTATTCATAAGAGAAGAATACTAATATTAGCAATCATTTTTTTTCTGATACCTGTATTAGACAGGTATCAGAAAGAAAATACCTATCTAATTTTCATTTTTAAAATGTATGGCTATTTTTAATATATGCTTTTTATTGGTTGATCTTTTTATGAAATTCTACAGTATCTCATCATTTTTTATTTTCAGCTTGTCAGCCTATAGGATCCCTTCCAACTGAATCCTATCAATTGTTTCTCTGTCATGTCCCCAGTGTTGTTCAGTATAATATCCTAAACCACTCACTCGCACCTCTTATGTCTCTGTTATACAAGGCTGAAGGCAAACCACAAGAATGTTTTGAAATTTATCCTATAATAAAAGAGAAATACAATCAGATTTTGACCATGATTATCAGTTCTGCATGTTGTTTGTCTCCGAAGGAAATAACAGAGACTGCAGTCAACAAACTGTGATGGAGAATGATGGACAACCTGACAGCAAATAGGAGTCGCAGAGCCTGTCAGTCATGGGCAGACCAGAATGGCTGGCCAACAACTTTAACTCAAGGACCCTCTCTCAACCTGCTGCCCACCTCTCAGCATCTCAACCTGGGCTCGTCTTGTGACCAGAGACCCTCCTACGACCACCTGCAGGCGTCCAGCCAGAGCTGTATGGGTGATCTCAGCACCTTATCATCCAGAAACACTCTTCACTCTGCCCTGTACAAAGGCCCTCACAGTAGCAACAATCCATCATCCAACATGCTGTTTGCCAACACTGCTATCCCGTGTGACTCTCACATGATTTCCTCATTTGCTCAGCAAATCCCTCACACTTCATCAATGCTGCTAACTGCAAACCAAGGAAAAAATATCCCACCACCATCTCTCCCCCAAACAAACCAAGCTTCAAAGCCCTGTAGGTCCCAACATCTACCACTTTTCTCACCCCACGACCCATACAAAGCTTCATTTCAACCTCCATTAACCAATCAGGGTGTACCAAACGGAGTTCAGGATCAGCCCATTAGCCTGCCGTCGTGTGGACCGCATGTAAGTACATCTCAAGCTGCTTTTGAAGGAGCAAATGTAGAATTTCTTGGTGGTGCCGGAAACATTCACAGCCATACCTCATCCACTTCTCAGGAGCAGCGTCAGTGGATACCTTCATCACCCTGCAGGGGTAAGCTGTATTTATAGTACCTTTGTGGTTCTCTGGCTTGTCCGTTGTATTCTTCTTTTTATTTATTTATTTTTTTACTTCACTTATATTTTCAGATCCTGATTGAATTTGAGCAATCTGAATGTATATTTTGAATTTTTGAAGATCTTAATTTGTCAACCCCAAAACTATATATACTTGAATTAAAGTTTTTGAAATTGACTAATTCTTCCGTAAAGAAGTACAGGTTGTTTGTGGTAATAAGTTAGGATCCATTATGAACAGCTGTATGTTCAGATTTCAGATGCTGAATTATGCTGTCTTTTACATATTTATAATGAGGTCTTACTGGTCTTGCAACCAGATGAGACAAATAAAACTACAAATGTTTATAGGACCAAAATCTATACATTAGAAGCTGCAGTCACACAAACTCTACTCTTGTTAATTTCAACAACACCTAACAGGATAATGCAGGACTCCCAAACTTTAAACAAAAACTGAACATTATTACCTTCATGGAGGTAGGATTTATTGCTGTGCTATGACTGCTGTATTAGACTCTTAGTTTAAGCTAGGTGAAGCTAAAAATTTAAATTTCAATACACTACAGATCAGTCACTTGTTTAAACAAGTGGTGCAGTTCAGATTACAGTACTGTTGGATGTTGCCTCCAACTTCCTCTTACATTATCTGACTATCTTTTCCTCAGGAGCTGTAAATGAGTCTGTCCCTGATGCAGCTGCTCATCTTAACAAAGAACCAACGCAAGAAGGGAACACAGCTCCACAAGTGAGGAAATGAACAGCACCAAAAGTTATTACAGAAGAAAGTTTTGATGTGTTGTGGTCTCTTAATTGTACATCTTCACAAATAGTAGTGATTTGTTGATTGTACACATTGGGCCGGATTTACTAACATCCCGAATAAAGAGTACTAAATTGCGTGTGCATTCTAAAATATTCCACGTTCAATTGTAGTACCTGTTAGGGGTGATCAACTAAGAATTATTGCGTAGGTGGAGGAGGCAGTATTTAAATGAGGTTTTGCATGTTTTAATGGTTTCCGCCATGGAGAGTCGGGAGCGAAAGCAGCCACTGCGTAAAAACCTTGGTTTGTTTCGTTCAGTGCGCCCCGAGTATGTGGAAACCATTATGTAACTGCCCATCCTGCCTAAGATAGCACTAAGTACTTGGAACCGCACTGCTTTAGAAAACCCCAGCAGAAACAGCTACAGTACGCTGGAATGACCCAGACGCAAGGAAATGCTAGCAGATCGTGCTTCATCCAGCCAGAGGGAACGATCACCAACCGTCCGCACCATGCCCGGTCGCTCCGCAGTCTCTGTCTCTGTACACCCGTTGTGTCGCCATTACGACCGGCTGTGAACAGTTGGTGATCGTTCCCTCTGGCTGGATAAATTTTACGCGCGATCCATGCACCACTGCAGGTGGGGGCTCTCCGCAGCACCACGCAACTTTCTAAATTCTTCCCTCTCACAGAGAAAATAAGTCAGGTCAAAGCGAAATTTGCTTTATTGGCATGAATGTTAATACAACAGTATTGCCAAAGCTTCAAGGAAAATACAAAAAATTTTTTTATTCAAATAGTTCATTGAATAAATGAAATAAAATAACTGAATAATATTATCTAATATTTTTACTTTCTCTACGTCTTCTTGCATTACAGCTGTGTCTCCTCGCAACGATAACAGCAGCCATGCAACACTTGGCGGTTTGCACCTTCCTTCCAAACGTTTTAAATACAGATGCTGTTGCACTCACATGAAGTTGCTTTTAGGCTTGTTGGATCAAATTGCATTTAGTAAATAAATTTATTTGCACGTTACCCTCCCATTACTTTGCACACTAAAACTGAAACGCCCCAAATTGCATATTCATTAAGGTAAGTAAGTAAGTAAATGAACAACAGGTGCTGTCTTGCACTTTTGGAAGGAGTCATTCTCCGTGCACACCGTTAATAGGTTCCGTGTTAATTTGCTGGCGATATCAAGTTTGCACATGTTTTTACTTACACAAACCTTTAGTAAATCTGGCCCATTGTAAGTCACTTAACAGTTTCATCTCCCTTTCTAATTTAATTCTGCTTTCAGACCAGCAATGAGAAATTGCGTTCAACGCTTTTACATCATCGTGCACAACTGCTTCAACAACTGTCAGAGTTGGATAAACTAGTAAGTGTGTTAAAGCAATGTTTTAATTGAAGGTGGTCTTCAGATGGTTGCCACCCACTACAACCTTAAAACGCTGTTTCACTTATAATTATAAATTAAAGCTAAAATATGAGAGATTATAGATAATTTTACACAGTTACCCCCTGTTGACTTTGTCTCCCCATTAAGCTGGAATCGGTACCTCCAGATGACAGCAACGTTGGGCAGTCTCCACACACAGCTGTTCAGGTAGGTTAAGTTTTTTTAGACGCTACCTTTTTTCAAAATAAGAGTAGTGATGCCTAGCAGATTCAGCTGTGTATGAAGGTCATTGTGGCCAGCCTAAGGCACACCTGTGCAATACCCATGCCCAACACAGATTTTGTCAGATTCGTGAACAATATTTGAGAGAAATAGGCCTTTTGTGTACATAGAGAAAGTCTTAGATCTTTGAGTTCAGCTCATGATGAATGGGGGCAAAACAAAAGTTTTGCGTTTATAATTTTGTTCAGTTTAGATTATATATTTATCAATTAACAAAATGCAAAGTGAATGAACAGAAGAAAAATCTAAATCAAATCAATATTTGGTGTGACCACCCTTTGCCTTCAAAACAGCATCTATTCTTCTAGGTACACTTGCACAAAGTCAGGAATTTTGTAGGCATATTGTCAAGTGTATGATTAAAATATTATACCAAACAGGTGCTAATGATCATGAATTGAAATATGTAGGTTGAAACACAATCATTAACTGAAACATAAACAGCTGTGTAGGAGGAATACCACTGCGGCAGGCAGGGATTTCAGATGTGCTGTCCAAACTCTCTTGAAGAAGCACAAAGAAGCAGCCAACATTGAGGATGTAGACGCAGTGGTCAGCCAAATAAACTTACTGCAGCTGATGAAAGGCACATCACGTTTACTTACCTTTGCAACTGGAAGAAGTCAATCTGCTCAGAACTGCAGAAAATAGCCGGACCCTGGTACACCCATCTACTGCCCATAGAAGTCTGGTCAGAAGTGACCTTCATGGTGGACTTTTGGATCAGAAAGCCATACCTCCGACATGGAAACAAGGCCAAGCGACTCAACTATGCACAGTAACAAGGCAACTGGGGTGTAGAATAGGGCTGCATGATTAATCTAATCGCAATTGCGATGTCGTCATGTGTGATTTAATAAAACAAAAAAAAAGTGTGTGTGACGCTGTCTTCTCTATTTGCGCTACAGTCTGCTCATTATCTCACTGGGCTCTCGCATGTGCCTCTTAAAGCAGGTAGGCCTATTTGCAATCAGAAAAAATTATTCATGAGGAGTGTGCCAGTAACTTTTAAGACAACAACCTACCGTAACCCCCCGCCGCTAATTGTTCAAAACATAGTCGGACTTGCTACCTGAGCACCGAGATAAATGCAGGTGTTCCGGTTGCTCTGTGACAGAGACAGAGTGACAATGTCAGCAGCTGAAGCGGTAAGACAGAAGAAATAAGAAGATTTGGGTTTAGCTAGCTGGCCATTTAACGTTTGCTGTATTGGTGCCTTTTGTTGTTCAACTTTTCATAAAGCCGACATGCTTGTCAGTCACTGTTCGTCAACCCGCCAGTCACAGCCTGGATGGGGCGGGCCATTAAAAAAAATGTCTTCACTGTTTGTTTTGTTTTTCAGTCACAGTCACGCTCAGCGGATTGTTCACCTGCATCACCTGCACCCTGTGATAAACAAAGTGAGACTTGGGACACACCAGAGGACCCAATGTCCGCCTCAGAATCAGTGGTAGTTACCTGTATATCTTTCAGTTTGTTTGTTCATTTATTCTTTAAAGCTAGAGCGCTGAACTTTTACACTTAAATGAACATCTGTTACATTTAAGCCCTTGCCAAAGAGTTCACAAAATACTGATCAATTTCCATTCCATTCAAAAAGTGAAACTTGGATATTATATTCATTCATACACACAGACTGATATATTTCAAATGTTTATTTCATTTAATTGTGATGATTAAAACTGACAACTAATGAAAATCCCAAATCCAGTATCTCTGAAAATTAGAATATTAAGACAAATACAAAAAAAAAGGATTTGTTGGCCAACTAAAAAGTATGAACATGAAAAGAATGAGCATGTACAGCACTCTATACTTAGTTGGGGCTCCTTTTGCCTGAATTACTGCAGCAATGCGGCGTGGCATGGAGTCGATCAGTCTGTGGCACTGCTCAGGTGTTATGAGAGCCCAGGTTACTCTGATAGTGGCCTTCAGCTCTTCTGCATTGTTGGGTCTGGCGTATCGCATCTTCCTCTTCACAATACCCCATAGATTTTCTATAGGGTTAAGGTCAGGCCAGTTTGCTGGCCAATTAAGAACAGGGATACCATAGTCCTTAAACCAGGTACTAGTAGCTTTGGCACTGTGTGCAGGTGCCAAGTCCTGAAATCTGCATCTCCATAAAGTTGGTCAGCAGCAGGAAGCATGAAGTGCTCTAAAACTTCCTGGTAGACGGCTGCGTTGACCTTGGACCTGAGTAGTGGACCAGCACCAGCAGATGACATGGCACCCCAAACCATCACTGACTGTGGAAACTTTACACTGGACTCAAGCAACGTGGATTCTGTGCCTCTCCCTCTCTTCCTCCAGACTCTGGGACCTTGATTTCCAAAGGAAATGCAAAATTTACTTTAATCAGAGAACAATAACTTTGGACCACTCAGCAGCAGTCCGGTCCTTTTTGTTTTTAGCCCAGGCGAGATTCTTCTGACGCTGTGTCTTGTTCAAGAGTGGCTTGACACAAGGAATGCGACAGCTGAAACCCAAGTCTTGCATACGTCTGTGCGTGGTGGTTCTTGAAGCACTGACTCCAGCTGCAGTCCACTCTTTGTGAATCTCCCCCATATTTGGGGGTTTTGTTTCACAATCCTCTTCAGGGTGCGGTTATCCCTATTGCTTGTATACTTTTTTCTACCACATCTTTTCCTTCCCTTCGCCTCTCTATTAATGTGCTTGGACACAGAGCTCTGTGAACAGCCAGCCCCCTTTAGCAATGACCTTTTGTGTCTTGCCCTCCTTTTGCAAGGTGTCAATGGTCGTCTTTTGGACAGCTGTCAAGTCAGCAGTCTTCCCCATGATTGTGTAGCCTACAGAACTAGACTGAGAGACCATTTAAAGGCCTTTGCAGGTGTTTTGAGTTAATTAGCTGATTAGAGTGTGGCACAACTTTTTGATGATATTCTAATTATATGACCAGCACCTGTATATTGGGTGTCTGTGGCAACATTCCCACATTGGCAAACTAGTAGTGATGTGTTTTGTGGCAACTAGCAATGCTTGGTTTGCCAGAGCTGAAGGGTGGAGACAGTGATGGCAGCAGCAACTCAGTAAAACAGAGCCTACACATCACAAGCACGTGTCGACAGTGTTGTGTAATGACTCTCACAATCAGAAGGGGAGAAAAGTTCAGCACTGCAGGTTTAATAGTATGTGCTAGTTTTTAGTATTGGTGCTAAAAGGTTTCACATTTCAATGTGATATATTAGGGCATAGCTATCTGTCACTTTTGGATATGTTCTTTTGACTACATTGATAAGTTGCGGTTATGTGGTGTTTAATGTGAGAGCTGTTGAGCCGTTTTATACTGTAATACTTTTTCAGTGGGATTTCATTTATTAAAAAAACCCACTGTCCAGTAGCCTCCCCTGGAGCACTTTTTTTACTTTGAGTGAGAGAATGTCCTATAACCTGTTGCAGTTTTGGACAAAATGTAAAAGTTATTTAATAGTCAGTGTTTTATAATGAACATGCAATTGAATGAACCCCAGGAAGTATGGCCAATGCATTATGCTAAATGGGATTCTAATAAAGAAATTTCCGTTAAAGAAAAGTTACAGAAATATTTGTGTACGGCATCGTTGGTACTTCTTAGAAAGAAAGATATTTGGAAAAAAGGCAGGTCTGACTTTAAAAACATCAGTATTGGTGAAGAAAATTGTAATCGCTTTTTTTTTTTTTCTTTCAGAAAAAAGAAAATTCTTCCGCCGAATCAGAGGAGGATGCTGATCTTGATGACTTAGATCACAGTGATGATGACCTCTCTTATGTCCCACATGAGAGCTCTTCAGATGAATCCAGTCACAGCACTTCCTCAGCCGACACAGACAAAAGACCTTCTCTCCCGAGGAAAAAAAGGGCTAAAGCGGGAAGTTCTTTGTCTAAGGCTGAAAGTGTCTGTCCCCCCAAAAAGACATGTGCAACTAATCAGAAGAAATCATCTGAAACTGTTGTGTCGCCATGTTCAAATTCTAAAGCGAAGCGTGTTTATGACAGGAGGAATTATTGTGTGTTTTGCTCTAAGCCAATATCCAAAATGGCACGGCATCTTGAGACAGTCCACAGTGACAAAGCAGAGGTTGCAGCTGCCTTTCAGTATCCCAAAAATTCCAGAGAAAGACAAAAGATATGGAACAGACTAACAAATGAAGGAAACTTTGCCCATAATAAAAAATGTCTTGAAAACAGGGAAAGGCCAACTTGCTGCCAGAAAAAGGCCGAGGCAAACTGGAAAAGCCCAAGACTTTCTTCATTGTCTTTACTGTCGAGGTCTTTATGGGAGGAAAGCTTTGTTCAGACACATGAGGTTGTGTCCAGAGAAAGTGAAGAATGAAAATGAATCACAGATCGGAAGAAAGCGTATCGCATTGCGGTGTTTTCTTGAAGCTTCAGAAGACCTTGGCATAACTGATGGTTTTAAGAGCGTTTTGTCCCAGATGACATACGATCATGTGGCTGAAGCTATCATGGATGACAAGGTCATCTTGCAGTTTGGCGAGCTCCTGTTTAAACAACACGGATCAGATGTGAAGAGGCATGAACATATAAGGCAGAACCTTCGTCAGTTAGCAAGGCTTGTACTCGAAGCTCAAAAGATAACTCCTCTGAAGAAACTGGAGGACTTCTTTCTCCCCTCAAGCTTTCCACATGTGGTGTCTGCGGTGAACGTCCTGGCAGGCTACGATCCGGAAAAAAAATCGTACAGCATTCCTTCACTCGCCATCAAGCTGGGCTACCACCTACAGAAGGCCTGTAGTATCGTTGAGGGTAACGCAGTGGAGTGTGGTGATGAAAGTCTGGCAGAGTCTGCACGAAAGTTCCTCTCTGTGTACCAGAAAAAATGGAACAAACTCATTTCTGCAGGTGCATTAACAACACTCAGAGTAACAAAACTGAACACCGCAAAGAAGGTGCCGTTAGCTCAAGATGTAAAGCGCCTGAACTTCCACATGGAGAATGTTCATGTTGTTGCTGAGAAAAAGCTCAGAGAGAGCCCTTCTGCAGAAAACTATGCTGCTCTGGCCAAGGTAATACTGGCTCGAACAATACTTTTCAACAGGAGAAGAGCCGGAGAGGTATCATCAGTGCAACTAACAGCTTTTATGTCACGGAAAACGTCGAACCTGCACGCTGGCATGGACATAAGCGTGTCAGATTTGGAAAGAACCATGTGTGGATTCTTCACCAGAGTAGATATACGAGGAAAGTGCGGCAGAATGGTCCCGGTTTTACTAAAACCATCATTCGTTTCTGCTATGGAGCTTCTTGTGAAGGTTCGTGAGACCTGTGGAGTCCCCAGTAAAAATCCCTTCCTGTTTGGCCGGCCAAATGCACTGTCTGCCTACAGCGGGTCAGATTGCATCCAAAAATATGTGAAAGCATGCGGAGCTCAAGACCCTGAAACCCTGACATCGACAAAAATCCGGAAGCATTACACAACAATGCTACAGATGATGAACCTGGATGAAAACGAGGCCAACCAAATTTTAGGCCCCAATAATCAAGTCCAAACCCTGCGACATGACAGCAGCATGGAGCTGGATGACGTCAAAATGGACTGTTACGGTAAGAATAGAAAAGGACACGTTTTTCCTCCCACCCTCCAAAGACATGCAGACTAGGTTAATCGGGGACTCCGCTGAGGTGTGATTTTGAATAGTTCATGTCTGTGTGCCCTGTGATCGACTACCGACTTGTCCGGGGTGTACCCCACCTCTCGCCCGATGCCAGCTGGGATTGGCTGCAGTTTACCCACGACCCTGTACACAGGATAAGCGGTTGACAATGGGTGGATGTTTTCAGTGGTATATAAAGACCTTACATAATAAACCGTTGTTTTTTATTACCTTAGAATGAGCCATTTCTATCTACATACACTGTAGGTCCCCTTACACAGAGGTCGCCGTGTTGCGCTACCATGTTTATACATTAACTCAAACAGACAAACTGCTCTACAGACTGCGTTTTGTCACCACGTTAAATACGTACAAAGAAGATGATGATGTAGTAGTAGTACTCGTCATCATCGTCGTCTGGGTTAGAAGTAAGAAGAGAAGTGAAATTTTGGACAAATGGAGGACCACACGTATTTAGCACAAGGGCTGACAGAGTGTCGGTCACTGTAGCTTCTCCTGCGCACTTGCAAAGGGAGGGGTGAGCGGTTAGTGAGCAGCTGGTTACAATTCACAACCATCACCACCAAGTGCCACTAAAACACACACACTCGACTCATGAAGACTTGAATATCTAAAATCATGTTGATTGGGCCTTAAAGAATTAGCTCTATTAAATAAGTTTTGTTTGACAATTTAATTTGGTTACCACCAAATTGCTAATGAGCTAGATGTTCAACCCAAAACATATGTGTGTGTGTGTGAGAATAAGTAAATGGAACATGTAAAAGATTTATTTTTGTCTTCAATACAGAGAGATTCCAATCTGCAAGAGAACAACAAGCTGCATCATGGGATCACAATGGATCAGCAGAGTTTTTATCCTGAACAAGCACATGGAGCAACAACAGACACCAACATAGCTGCAACTCCAAAATCTGTCAACTGGGGCAACAAAGGTATTGAAGTTGATCATTAACAGTCTTTCTATCTGGCCACTTTGGCTTTAAAAAAAAAAAGATCTTCACAGCTATAGACAGTCATACAAAGTTATGTTTAGATTAACAATAGCTGTAGTCAGAAGAATTAAAAAGGTCTAGTTTGTGTTTTATAAATAAGAACCAAGAGGAGAAGTCTGGTTAAGGTACAAGGACACGGAGCAACAGAGTGATACTACTGATCTCAGGGGTGGAGGCTCAAGAGGTGTCCTCTTACTTCATGGCATATTAATAACTAATGATTATGATGTATGTTTGTATTTAATACCTGCATTAATTGCCTTGATTGTTTGTTTCAATGTCAAAATGAGCTAATTTGTTCATGTCGTGGGAATCTTCTCTAATCCAGATCAACATATGGGGTGACATGTGAAATATTTACTACTAAAGATATTGACATTGTTGTGACAGCCCTCAGGTTTGAAATATAGGCCACACATTGTAAAATCATTAATGCAGATCAAAGTAGAGTTGAGGCAAAGTATCTCCTGAGTTTCTTTACTGTCCACGTCATTGTTCAAGTTAATGACAAAAATAAAATATGGATGCTGAAGATGATGGAGTTTAGGGTTTGAAGTCTTTGAGAACAAATGTGAACAGCAAAGCGTTGCAGTGATGACAGTAAGATCTTTTTTATTTTTGGAAATCTTTTTTTAGTGATGGCAGACATTCACTTGTTTCTCTTTTACCCCACAGGCTCCCAAAATAATGGTAAACATAAATGGGAGGAAGCAGAGGTCCTCGCTGTTGAAAGACAAATGATGCGTTTAATTCAAGGACACAAGGTGCCTCAGAAAAACGACTGCATTCAGTGTCTCGAGGCTGAGCCAGAAGCGCTGAGGAACCGTTCATGGAAAGGTGTAAAGGACTACGTCAGAAACAGGATCACTGCCCTGAAAAGACAAAGTGGAGCTTCTCGGGCTACGTCCACAAACAGTAACTTGCCCGGGCAAGTGGAACCGCAGCAGAGTACCGGACATTTTCAGCAGTTCTGAACGTGATATTTTGTCGGTGACAAAATCTGTTTGTGCAACTTTGCTTTCCCACCTTTTTTATCCTTCACCTTCATCTACGTCTCTGATGCAACGTTGTGAGAGTTTCCATCCATTAGGATGAAGAATAGATTAATATTTCATCTTTGTTTTTTTTAAGGGTTATGATTACAGTATATCTGTCACAGTGGTTTTATTTCATTTAATTAACTTAATTTGTAAATAGACATCTCATACATACTGAAGAATGATGTATTTTAATTTTTTGGAGCTGCAAGTTAACTTCTGTGATCAAGTTATCTGGCATTTTGTATTTTGTTATTCTGTTTGGTACACTGTATTCTCTTTGACTTTGTATAACAACTTGCCACCATTAAAAAGTGCCAAGAATAATATTTGTGTTTGTTAACAAAAAGATAAGTTACCCGTAATTCACTCATAATATGGTTAACGCACCTTAGTGATTTGCGTCACCCGGTGATGTTTATTATCTCCATCCTTGCATGTATGAAGGACATCGGTAAAGGCCGTGGTCAGAGAACTTTGCAGATAGCAGCAAAGTAACCCATTCAAAATTTTACTAATGTAACAATACAGGATGTGTTTAAAATATCAAAAAGTGAAAATAGTCATTAGGCAGCAGAATTGCCCATGTCAGTGTTATATATAAACCTGTGTCAGATTATATATATATATATATGTGTGTGTGTGTATATAATATATATGGTACATTTGTTAAGTAGTAATCCTTAATGTGTAATTTTATAAACTCAGGTTTTCTATGTAAAAGCTAAATCTGAAAAGTAACTGCAGGTGTTAATGCAGTGGCGTCAAAGTTACGATACTTTCTTCTGAAATGAAGTGGAGATAAAGAAGCATAAATTAGAATTACTTTGAAGTACAGTACCTCAGAATTGTACATCGGGGAAATATCCTTTGACTGTGTCAACTAACTATATTTCTTGGATCCAACAATCAAATGCTTTTACTTTCAAAGGAACCGCAGAAATGCGTTGTGATTCATGCTGGCATGACACTAACAAGTAACATATTTGTTATCAGGGAATTTTAATTTAACGCAAACATTTATTTGAACCTGTAGATTAATATATGTATTTGTAAGAGATGACGCTCTTATTCTGAAAACCGAAGCGGAAGTGTCATATCATGCACAGGCACCCGGAGGTAAACAAACTAACTCCTTTGCAGTTCATGTAATGGTACTCATGTATAAACATTTGACCAAAAATTGGTTGTATTTTCTGCAGATATGGGTTTTTCAGCCTTGTCATTAGTTTGGAGACGTTGCCAGTTACGAATAATAGTTATAATAGTACGAATAATTCCGCACAGTCACAACAGCTTAACAATGTAGCTAGGTAAGCTAACGTTTAAGAACTGAAGAAATTGGACACCACACTGCTAAGAGTAAGATACATTTTGCCAATCAATAAATAACTGCCACGATTTAGCTACCCATGCTCACTTTAAGCATAACTCTAAAGAGATTATGGGCAAATAAATAAGTATCAAAGTTCTCAAAGGACCCCGTAAATGACAGACTACGACTTTGGGTGATAAACGTTAGCTTCAAGGGTAACGGTAGTTGGGGTTTAACCAAACTACTAAAAACACATTAATTACTAAACCTAATCTTTTAGTTCACAAGAGCTTCACACAGTTAATATTGTAAGATAATTGGTAGATTAATGGATCATATATAATTGTCAAAATCTGTACTCCAACATCCTCTCTAGCCTTCCTAGTTATAACTTCAGCTGAATATTAACAGTTTGTCATTCTAGAGAAGAACAGAAATATTAAGAATCCTTTTCTTTCTGAAACTTGTATTAGGCTGGTTTTCAATTTTGAAAATGTATGGCTATTTGTAACGTGCTTTTTATTGGTTGATCATTTCATGATATTCTATAGTATCATAATTTTTATTTTCAGCTTGTCTGCCTATAAGAGCCCTTCCAACTGTTTCTCTGTCATGTCTTCACATTGTTCAGTATAATTACCTAAACCACACACTCACTCACCTCTTGTTATGTCTAAGTTACACAAGGTGGAAGGCAAACCACAATAATTTAAAGGGGCCATGTGTAGTTTTCAGTGGTCTCGAGCAGTGAGCTTTCAGATTGCAACCACTACCTTCCCAAGCGTGTGCTTGTGCGCATGCTCAGCTTGACTTTTAACTAATCCATGCTTCGTTGCGTGTCAACATTACATTGACTGAATTTAGCTGACACGATACATCGGCATTAGCTAGCCTGCCACAATTTCAATAACTATTTGAGTATCTTTCTTCGGAGAGGCTCAGCAAAGTCAGCATAGCTGAACGTATTGGGTGATAACAGTTAGAGAGCTTGTCTGAATATTATAAATGAGATTGTTGCCACACTTTATAACGGTTAGGCCGCATTGACATTCCACATTTGCTTTGTACCGTCACATCATTTCTGTCAGGCTAAAATCAAGTTGCTCAGTGTGTGCACGTAACACAGTGTGGTTGAGGGTATCGATGGGCCAATACCGCGGGAACAGCTGAGCAGCTAGTCAGCGATAGGGACTATATTAACAGTATGAGAAGACGCTCCGTTGTAGTTAGCGCCGGTCGAAGTTGTCATTTTCGAAGTGATCGTAATAAATAAACACACATACAATCCCTTTCGTCCCAGAGAATATTTCTCTTCATCCTAATCACATTTTCTGTCGTCCCCAGGTCAACGGGACGCTGTTAGTCTCGAGCCCTGTTGTGTGGAGTTTATGTTGGAGCTTGTGTTGTGCTGGGAGCGTCTAGTTTTTTGGTAGTAGTGGACTCCATTTTGTTAGCTGCGGTGTTGTCGCTGTTCAGACAGTTCAGAATCAGTAGGCAACATGGCATCACAGCCTCCATAAACCAATGGATTTCACAGAACATCTGACCCATTTGTTCACATAGGAGGCAGTATAGTGGCTGCTCCAAGCGACTGAGAAAGCAGGCGTGTGGTTCATTTGGTTCATCATTCATCATGAGGTTACAACCAGTTCACAAATAGGCAATAAAAAAGTGATTTATTTCATTACAAAACTACATATAGCCCCCCCCCCCCCCCTTTAGATGATTGTTTTGAAATTTATCCTATAATTAAAGAGAAATAAAATCATTTTCGTTTTGACCCTGAATATCAATTCTGCATGTTGTTTTGTCTCCAAAGGAAATAACAGAGACTGCAGTCAACAAACTGTGATGGTTAGGGAGAATGATGGACAACCTGACAGCAAATAAGAGTCGCAGAGCCTGTCAGTCGCAGGCGGTCCGGAATGGCTGGCCAACAACTTTAACTCAAGGACCCTCTCTCAACCTGCTGCCCACCTCTCAGCATCTCAACCTGGGCTCGTCTTGTGACCAGAGACCCTCCTACGACCACCTGCAGGCGTCCAGCCAGAGCTGTATGGGTGATCTCAGCACCTTATCATCCAGAAACACTCTTCACTCTGCCCTGTACAAAGGCCCTCACAGTAGCAACAATCCATCATCCAACATGCTGTTTGCCAACACTGCTATCCCGTGTGACTCTCACATGATTTCCTCATTTGCTCAGCAAATCCCTCACACTTCATCAATGCTGCTAACTGCAAACCAAGGAAAAAATATCCCACCACCATCTCTCCCCCAAACAAACCAAGCTTCAAAGCCCTGTAGGTCCCAACATCTACCACTTTTCTCACCCCACGACCCATACAAAGCTTCATTTCAACCTCCATTAACCAATCAGGGTGTACCAAACGGAGTTCAGGATCAGCCCATTAGCCTGCCGTCGTGTGGACCGCATGTAAGTACATCTCAAGCTGCTTTTGAAGGAGCAAATGTAGAATTTCTTGGTGGTGCCGGAAACATTCACAGCCATACCTCATCCACTTCTCAGGAGCAGCGTCAGTGGATACCTTCATCACCCTGCAGGGGTAAGCTGTATTTATAGTACCTTTGTGGTTCTCTGGCTTGTCCCTCGCATTGAAGGATGAAAGCCTCTTCAGTGTGGTTAAACAGTTGTTGTTTGATTTGTGTAAACCATGTTTTAGCTGTTTTGTTTATCCTTGGTATCTTGGATGTTCAGATCTGAAATCTGTGACTGTTGTTTCAATTTGAGCAACCAGATTGGTTTTTATTTCACTTGAATTTTCAGATCCTAATCAAGCTGATTGAATTTGAGCAATTAGAATATATTTTGAAGATCTTAATTTGTGAACCAAAAAAAACATATGTACTTTAAATAAAGGTTTTTGAAATTGCACATCTTGAAATTGACAAAAAGAAAGGTGACTTCAGAGCACATAAATTCAGATTGATGCTTTTCAAAATAAAAAATGTAAGTGCTCTAAATTTAGCAATATTTAAATTTCAATTAAAACAGTGATTACATTTAGACATTCAGTAGCTTATAAGATTAAAATATGTATGAACATTATTTACTTCAATATGTGGCTCAACTGAAGTACAACTTGTTTGTGGTAATGAGTTACCTCTTACATTGTCTGACTATCTTTTCCTCAGGAACTGTAAACGAGTCTGTCCCTGATGCAGCTGCTCATCTTAACAAAGAACCAACGCAAGAAGGGAACACAGCTCCACCGGTGAGGAAATGAACAGCACCAAAAGTTATTACAGAAGAAAGTTTTGTTGTTTAGTGGTCTATTTGTTTGTACATATCTTCACAAATAGTAGTGATTAGTTTATTGTACACAATGTAAGTTACTTGAACAATAGCATCTACCTATGTGAATGAATATTGCCTACCTCCTGGGTAGAGTGGGTTGCCTGTTAATCAGAAGATCGGCGGTTCAATCTCCGGCTCTTCCAGGCTGCATGTTGAATGATCTGTTTTCAATCTGCTTTCAGACCAGCAATGAGAAATTTCGTTCCGCACTTTTACATCACCGTGCACAATTGCGTCAGCAACTGTCTGAGTTGGATAAACTAGTAAGTGTGTTAAAGCAATGTTTTAATTGAAGGTGGTCAATATATATATATATAGATAGTTGCTATCCAGTACAACTAGGGGTGTGACGATACACTTAGCTCACGAGACCAGACAAGACACGATATTGGGGTTATGAGAATGAGAGAAGACAGTATTTTAAGAGTGTTAAGAAATCTTCAATGATAAAATGTAAGACTGGAAAAATAGTATTTTATTCAACTAAAAGTCAAAAATGCAAAACAATTCAAGTGCATTTTGAAATATTGCTTACATGTTGTTCGTGCCTTGTCTGTCACTCTGTCGCTGTTTATTGGTTCCACCGGGTATCCAAAATGCTGCCACACAAACTATTCAAAAGTGGTGGGGGCATCTTTTATGCTAATTTCACCCTCACCTCAACGAGAAATATCGTCACTTTTTAATATCGCGAGATCTCGTGGCACGACTCGTCACACCCCTAAGTACAAACTTGAAATTATAAAAGGCTCAAATACCTATTAGAGGGATGTTATTGAAAAGTCTACACAGTTACTTCCAGTTGACTTAACTTTGTCTCCCCATTAAGCTGAAATCAATACCTCCAGATGACAGCAGCGATGGGCAGTCTCCACACACAGCTATTGAGGTAGGTTAAGTTTTTTAGATGCTGCCTGCAGTTTGAATGAAGTACAACAATTAATATCTAAAACACGCACAAAACCGGCAATGATTGGTTTGCCAGAGCTGAAGTGGGGAACAACCGTAGCAACAGAGTAGGCTACAGACAGAAGGAACATGGAGAGCCTACATGTCATAAGCAGGTGTGGACAAACTTCCTTCTACAACATATCCTCACTGTAGGTGTTGCATTTTGCTCTGTCGTTATGTTTTTGTAGTGAAGCTAAGCCAAACTTTTGATTGTTTGCTGCAGTCCGCCATGTTCCAGGAATGTAAACAGAACTCTCTTCTCACATGCTTTTATCATTCCAACTTTTATGTACTGTAAAATGCTCACTGAAGTTCATTTGGGAGCGCGACTGAAATATGCAAAGAGTTAGGAACCAATGAGCAGAACAGAAATGATGTCTTAACGAATCCACCGTTCTTGAAAATTTGGTAACAGTTCCAACCTGGAAGCGGTTCTCGATACCCAATCCTACACGTACTAAGGTCAGCGTATTGTGGCGATAACATTCTGACAAAAAAAGATACTTGCCTGCCACAGGGGTAGTCAGTGAAAAAAGTTAATTTCAGCCCATGATTGGTACTAAGTAGTTTGTCAACAGTTTCACAATTCCATGTGATATATTATGGCATTAATCATAAAATGGCGGCCCCGCCAAACTTTCCATGTGGCCCGCAGAAGGGCCACAGATGAAAATATTGCAATATTAATATATTTGTTGTATTACAACTCTGCGTTTGTGGCGAAATGCCCTGTAAAATGCTGGATTAAGTTATTGTTAATGCAAACTGAACACGAACACACAAATTGACTTTTATTATGAAGAAAATTCAATGTGTTAGTCAGTGAAATTAGTACTGACCGCTATCGTTTATCAAAAAATGTGTCTACAAAACAGGACAATGGTCATTTTAAACATTTTATGACTGCACGCGACAGGCTGCACACCTCCACCTTCTCAGCCAGGTAACCAACTCCTTTCACTTTTGCTGTTCACACTCCTGTCGTGTGCAACATAAAGTCAAATCATGACTGCTCACATAATTGGGGAAAAAGACCATTTACTGCCTGATAATAGTTTCTTTAGCTGCCCCAGACTTCTGTAACATGCAGTATTAAACCGCATTTTCTGTTACCACCGGTAACTACAGGTGTCATATGCACATGCATTATAGCAGACTCTGAAAAAAACAGTTGAATATTTTTCCTGCCAGTGAGTACTGCATCTTTCAGTTACATTTACAGTTACAGATTTTAACCATATCAGTCCTTAGTGAAGAGCCTCATGGCAAAAGTCTGACAGCATGTTCTAATTAAATAGGCTAGATATCATAATGGATTTACCATATTTTTAGGAGTCTGTTCACATTGATGAAGGCTAATTAAAAAACACTTATTTCATGAAATTTAAAATTTTAACCCTAATATACTAATTAAGCCTAAGTCAAAAAATGAAATGAGCAGTGAGAATTTCCGCTACTCGTTGAGCTATGTTATACTTAATTCATTTTCAGTTGCAGTTATTAATAGTAAGTGTTTTATTATAAACATACAATTGAATGAACCCCAGGAAGTATGGCCAATGCTTATTCTAATAGAAAATAATACTTTTCAGTTAAAGAAAAGTTACAAAAATGTTTGTGTATGGTATCATTTTAGTTCTTAGAAAGAAATTCGTAATCGGCTTGTCAGAATCAGAAAGCTCAAGGAAATTACAATCGACAAGTTCAAGGTAAACTTTATTATCCCACAAGGGGAAATTCATGTGGTCATACACGTCCTGTTTACCACACACACACACACACACACCCCATGCACCCATACATCCACCACAGAGGAGTGATAAAGTATCCCATACAATGCTGGTAAATTAAAATATACATCATATAAAATATACAGTATACAATCTAAATAGTCTAATACATACAATGGTAAAATCTGTCTTTTTAATCTAATTGCACAAACGTCTATAAATCCTATCATGGCAATATGGAAAATATACTACAGTATGCAACATACGATCTAAATACTCTGATATAATAAAATCTAAGATTGAGAACACAAAATGACATTGCACCTTTATAACCAGACAGGTGCGTTGGAGTGGGACAGGAGAGTCAAAAGTAGCAAAGAAAAATAAAATCTAACAAATGATCATGGGTATTGCACAGGTGTGCCTTTGGCTGGCCACAATAAAAGGCCACTTGAAAATGCATTGTTTCCCACACATAGGCTTTATTTGGGCGGGCCGCCCAGGTAGATTAACAGCCGCCCAAGTAAATTTAGTGAGCCGTTTTAAAATCGTTTTTGATTGCAGTGCTGCACAGCTCATATTAGCTCCGCACATCCTGTCACTCGGTCTCTCTCTCTCTCTCTCTCTCGCATACACGGACAACGGACCGTCTGTGAATTGAATGGTTGGTATAAGAAACACCGCTGCACAAATCTGCCCAGTGCAACGCTGTCAATGTTGGAGACCCATCTTCAAAACGGTTATTAGCAAGCATGTAATGAGTCTAGCTAATTAGCATAGCTATGTTAACTTTGGAAAACAGCTGTCGAAGTAACCACGCTGTATAACTGGTAGTCAATAGGTGTGTTCCACATAACTGTGGCTGACTTTCGCCGACTTCACAGTCTAAAGGCTCGTGCAGACTACACGACTTTCAGCGTCGATCGATGACCATGCAGTTCACACTACACAACTTGCCATCTTGTGACGGCAGTCTTGAAGTCATTGTGGCGTTCACACTACGTGACTGATCGGTGACAGGGGGTCACACACACGAGCTGACAACGACTCTGTCACCCGACGCTGGTCTCCAAACCACGTTTTGAAAACACACGTGAAATGTGAAACGTGAAATGTGAAACGTGAAACGTGAAATGACATGAACCTACACATGAAACTGGAGGTGAGTAAAATGTGTTTTGCGGTGAAAAAGTAGCTGCCTGCTCTCATTGGCTGGATGTGGATGTCGAGTCGGCCGACTTCTCCAGATATTTGGCGTGCTAGATATCTGGCAGACGTCCGCGATGTGTCAGAAATGTGTCGGGGAGCCGTTTTGATGCATCCCCCCACCACAGTTATGCTGTCATTCTGTGGGAAACACTGAAATGTGCAGTTTTCCTGTATTGGGCGGGTCTGGGGGGCTCCGGAAACCACTCAGTATCTGGTGTGACCACCATTTGCCTCACGCAGTGCAACACATCTCCTTCGCATAGAGTTGATCAGATTGTTGGTTGTGGCCTCTGGAATGTTGGTCCAATCCTCTTCAGTTCGAGAACCCGATGAGGACGACAAGCATGCAGATGAGCTTGCCTGAGACGGTTCCTGACAGTTTGTGCAGAAATTCTTTGGTTATGCAAACCAATTGTAGCAGCAGCTGTCCGGGTGGCTGGTCTCAGACGATCTTGGAGGTGAAGATGCTGGATGTGGAGGTCCTGGGCTGGTGTCGTTACACATGGTCTGCGGTTGTGAGGCCTTTGGAGAAGGCTTATGGTAGAGAAATGAACAGTCAATTCACGGACAACAGCTCTGGTGGACATTCCTGCAGTCAGCATGCTCCCTGAAAACTTGCGACAGCTATGGCATTGTGCTGTGTGATGGAACTGCACATTTTAGTGTGGCCTTTTATTGTGGCCAGCCTAAGGCACACCTGTGTAATACCCATGCTGTCTGATCAGCATCTTGATTTGCCACACCTGTGAGGCGGATGGATTATCTCGGCAAAGGAGAAGAGCTCACTAACACAGATTTTGACAGATTTGTGAACAATATTTGAGAGAAATAGGCCTTTTGTGTACATAGAGAAAGTCTTAGATCTTTGAGTTAAGCTCATGCTGAATGGGGACAAAACAAAAGTGACGTTGCGCTTATAATTTTGTTCAGTATAATTGCTGTAGGCACAAATGATTTGCTGTACCTAGTTGTTGTAGGATTCTGCCTTTTGACCTACTACTCCTTCGGAATTTCAGATGGAGAGGATGAGTAGGATCATTGAGGATCTGATCAGCCTTCTTTAAGATAAGGTCATTGGACAGCTGTGTTGCGGACACCTGATCGACCCCAGTGATCCTACTTGCCGTCTTGATCATCCGCTGCGTTTCCAAACATAAGTCCAAAGACAGTCTATAAAACAGATTTGTAGAACAAATGAAGAATACTACGGTCTACTCTAGAATGATTAAATTTCCTGAGACAGAACAGCCTCTGTTGTAGTTTCTTAGACTTTATCCGTGCACATTCATTGAATCTTAAGTGATTATCAGTTATCCACCAATTTGTCCAACATCAGGTAGGGTTGGATGGTGTTGAATACACTGCTAAAATCCACAAAAATAATATTGACCAGGCTGTGAGCCTGTTCAAGGTGCTCAAATATGTTAGACAGCCAATCATAAATAGCAGTGCATCTTTTCAAGAGCGACGCCTCTTCCTGCACAGTTGGCAGATTGGTTTGGATCCAAAATTGGTGAAACCTCAAATAGTAGTTGATATAGCAGAATCTTTTCAAGACATTTCATCGCTGCAGATGTCAAGGCAACTGGCTGTCTGTAGGTCATTGAGATCCTTAGGTCTATTATTTTTGAGCACAATCATAGATCTTTTCCACAGGTTGGGGACTGACCAGTATCCAGTGAGAGCTGGCGCAGCCTCTGGAAAGGCCTCACCAGTTGTTGCGCACATCTGTATGTCTTGCAAATGATGCAGTCTGGCCCAGGGGTTTTGTGAGGTTTTACACGTCTAACATCATCTAACAAAATTACATATAATTATATGTAATTATATATAATTATCCACATCCGCCATATCCCTCACTTTCATGATGGCCTTAGCCTGTTCTGTTTTAAAATTATGTGAGTCATTTGCCAAATCAAGTTCATTAACAACAGTCATGCAGTGGCTTTTAGGCTTATATCCAGTGATCATATGCAACCCCTGCCATGCTCTTTATAATTTATATTTATATTCTACCTTACAATCAACAATTTTTATTTGAATCTTTTTCTGCAGTATTTTCTTTTCATCTCTGCTTCCACCTGACTTAAAGTGGTCATATGCTCATTTTCAGGTTCATCATTTTATTTAGCGGTTGTACCAGAACAGGTTTACATGGTTTCATTTTAAAGAAAACACCATGTTTTTTTGTCATGCTGCACATTGCTGCAGCTACTCTTTTCACCTTGTGTGTCCATTTTAGCTATGGAGTAATACATATTACCTCTACAAAATCTTTGTTGGGAGTTGCACATGTGCAGTTCTTAGTTAAGGACTACTAGCCAGCTTAATGTTGCTAACCAGCTTAGCAACATGACTAGAGCAAGAGTTTCAGAGTGATGAGTTATTAATCTATAACAAATGTATCTTTCATCCATAAAGTTATATCTGTGCACTGTCTGTACATCACAGTAACAAGTGTCCATTGACTGCGTGGAGGGTAGCTAATGTTTGGGAGGGAGAGCTGTTTTCAGGCAGTTCAGAGCAGTGCTTTAACTTGCATAGATTGAAGTCCCCCAAAATGAAGATGGCTGCATCGGGAGCCTGTGCTTCAGCCTGGGATACTAGTTCATGAATAATAGTGGCAGCATCTTGCGTGTCAGCAGAGGGGGCGATATACATAACAAAAAGTCTAATTTGGTGTATTTCTAGAAGCAAATAGTATGGCCTTAGACTGAGCGATAATAGTTCAATGTCCTTTCTACAAACCCAATGCTTTGCTGTGGTATGAGCTGGGTAACAATATTTCTTGTTGATGAACAGGCACACTCCTCCGCCCTTACTTTTGCCAGAGACGAGAGTGTAGCCCTCTAGGTCAACAGCTGAATCAGGGTCCGTCTCTGTAAGCCAGTTTTCAGTCAGGCAGATAAGACAGGACTGCCAGAAGTCAGAGTGCAGACCCGCAACTTGTCCACCTTATTACTAATTCTCTGAACATTGCCGAGCATAATTGGTGGAAGTTGTCTATAAGGCCTCCTCCTAATCTGCTCCCGGATTCCACCTTTCCTGCCGCGTTTCCTTACTTTGGCCGTGTTGCCTTTGACACACTCCAGTGGTAATCTCCGTAATGTGTCATTGTAACGCAGATGTGTTGCAGTTGATTTAAGGTTAATAAAAAAGGCTCGGGTCCCTGGTTGGTGTTCGTAGTAAAACCAGTGGCAAATGAGGCACTTTGTGGCACCAGAATCAACACCTCTTAACCTTCCGTTATCATATATGTTAAATGTAGTGGCCAATGTTTCAGCTACCAAAGACAAATACTTAAAACAAACAAATACATGGGAAACATGCATGTACAGTGTCGGCGCAACCAGCAATTGCTGCATCTTTGATTATATTTGCTGAAACCACAATTTGTTAGAAGACTTTATTCCTACATAGAACCTCTTTTTTTTTTTCAGAAAACAGAAAATTCTTCCGCCGAATCAGAGGAGGACGCTGATCTTGATGACTTAGATCACAGTGATGATGACCTCTCTTATGTCCCACATGAGAGCTCTTCAGATGAATCCAGTCACAGCACTTCCTCAACCGACACAGACAAAAGACCTTCTCTCCCGAGGAAAAAAAGGGCTAAAGCGGGAAGTTCTTTGTCTAAGGCTGAAAGTGTCTGTCCCCCCAAAAAGACAACTAATCAGAAGAAATCATCTGAAACTGTTGTGTCGCCATGTTCAAATTCTAAAGCGCAGCGTGTTTATGACAGGAGGAATTATTGTGTGTTTTGCTCTAAGCCAATGTCCAAAATGGCACGGCATCTTGAGAGGATCCACAGTGACAAAGCAGAGGTTGCAGCTGCCTTTCAGTATCCCAAAAATTCCAAAGAAAGACAAAAGATATGGAACAGACTAACAAATCAAGGAAACTTTGCCCATAATAAAAATGTCTTGAAAACAGGGAAAGGCCAACTTGCTGCCCGGCAACGGCCGAGGCAAACTGGAAAAGCCCAAGACTTTCTTCATTGTCTTTACTGTCGAGGTCTTTATTTGAGGAAAGCTTTGCACAGACACATGAGGTTGTGTCCAGAGAAAGTGAAGAATGAAAATGAATCACAGATCGGAAGAAAGCGTATCGCATTGCGGTGTTTTCTTGAAGCTTCAGAAGACCTTGGCATAACTGATGGTTTTAAGAGCGTTTTGTCCCAGATGACATACGATCATGTGGCTGAAGCTATCATGGATGACAAGGTCATCTTGCAGTTTGGCGAGCTCCTGTTTAAACAGCACGGATCAGATGTGAAGAGGCATGAACATATAAGGCAGAACCTTCGTCAGTTAGCAAGGCTTGTACTCGAAGCTCAAAAGATAACTCCTCTGAAGAAACTGGAGGACTTCTTTCTCCCCTCAAGCTTTCCACATGTGGTGTCTGCGGTGAACGTCCTGGCAGGCTACGATCCGGAAAAAAAATCGTACAGCATTCCTTCACTCGCCATCAAGCTGGGCTACCACCTACAGAAGGCCTGTAGTATCGTTGAGGGTAACGCAGTGGAGTGTGGTGATGAAAGTCTGGCAGAGTCTGCACGAAAGTTCCTCTCTGTGTACCAGAAAAAATGGAACAAACTCATTTCTGCAGGTGCATTAACAACACTCAGAGTAACAAAACTGAACACCGCAAAGAAGGTGCCGTTAGCTCAAGATGTAAAGCGCCTGAACTTCCACATGGAGAATGTTCATGTTGTTGCTGAGAAAAAGCTCAGAGAGAGCCCTTCTGCAGAAAACTATGCTGCTCTGGCCAAGGTAATACTGGCTCGAACAATACTTTTCAACAGGAGAAGAGCCGGAGAGGTATCATCAGTGCAACTAACAGCTTTTATGTCACGGAAAACGTCGAACCTGCACGCTGGCATGGACATAAGCATGTCAGATTTGGAAAGAACCATGTGTGGATTCTTCACCAGAGTAGATATACGAGGAAAGTGCGGCAGAATGGTCCCGGTTTTACTAAAACCATCATTCGTTTCTGCTATGGAGCTTCTTTTGAAGGTTCGTGAGACCTGTGGAGTCCCCAGTAAAAATCCCTTCCTGTTTGGCCGGCCAAATGCACTGTCTGCCTACAGCGGGTCAGAGTGCATCCAAAAATATGTGAAAGCATGCGGAGCTCAAGACCCTGAAACCCTGACATCGACAAAATCCGGAAGCATTACGCAACAATGCTACAGATGATGAACCTGGATGAAAACGAGGCCAACCAAATTTTAGGCCCCAATAATCAAGTCCAAACCCTGCGACATGACAGCAGCATGGAGCTGGATGACGTCAAAATGGACTGTTACGGTAAGGCTTTTTTCCATAGATGAGGATTAGAAAGGGGGTCAGTCTGTGTTTAAGTCTGCTGTGAAGAAAGTTACATGTTACTTGTACGAGTTGTAAAAGAATGATTTTAACTCTGATATCTGGGCAGCCACACATTTTTACTTCACTGCAAAACTTGTGTTTGATGACCTGGTTTCCGTTACCTGTGATAAAGTTAGCCATGTAACTGCTGATTTCCTGGAGCCGGTTGCACCAACAGGGCTTTACTAAGCCTGGTCCTAACTGCTAAGTAGGTCATAGTTAAGACCAGTCTTTAGAATTGACCTATCAAACTGCTGTCAATCCAGAGATGGATGTCGACCACTCAAGCAAAATTGTGAAGGTGTGTAGCCTATATGTTAGAGTGCAATAACAGTTAAGTCTTAGAAGTTGTCAGACAGCAGTAGGCTATGACAGATTTAATGGATTCTCTATTTTTAGACTCGATGGAGGCCCAAATTACTCCACAAAATTCTCATGAAGTCAGCAGCGGTGCACTGCTAGCGAAACGGAGGAGGAGGCTGGAAGATCTGCACAGATGCTTCTTAAGAAATAAATAGCTCGAGTGGAGGCTGAAACAAAAAAATCACAGACTGAGCAGGAAAAGCTGGAACTTGAAATCAAAAATTAGAAATATAGTTGCTATAATGCATGTACGGACTAGTCCTCCACCGACATCTTCATGGCCCACAAGGTCGACACCTTCCTCCGGCACCAGCTGATGGTGTTGCCTAGGGAGAGGGATCCTCTTGGTGACACAGATGTTGTGGAAGACAGTGCAAGCTGCTAGTACAGTGCAGACTTGCTCAGGGTGCATCCTCATCTCCCCATGAAGACAAAGAAACCTAGAAAAAATAGCCCTAGTTAATGATTAATGTCAAATCGAACTTTGTCACTTTTGGCATTTGTTTAAATAGCCTATTTATATAGTTTTCAGCGATCTAGTGACAGCACTTTGCCGCTATCCGCTACCTAGTGGTAATGTGCAGGGCTCCAGACTAACTTTTTTCACCTCTGTCCCAAAAAAAATTTAATCGTCCTGAAGTTAATGTAAAGTATCCCAAAATCAAAATGTTTTTTCTTTACTTTATTATCCTCTATAGTTGTTAGTGACATAGTAAATGATGAGAAATTGACAAATTGATAAAATAAATAATATTTATTTTTCTCGTTATTTCTCGTTTCTCGGAACCGCAGCAGAGTACCGGACAGTTCTGAATGAATCTGTTTGTGCAATTTTGCCCTCCCACCTTTTTTGTCCTTCACCACTTAACCACCCTCTGTTCCTCTTTGTCTTTCATACAGTCATCTCTTTTGCAACGTTGTGAGAGTTTCTATCCATTAGGATGAAATATAGATTGATATTTCATCTTTTCTGTTTTTATGGTTCATGGTGGCGCATTTAGACGCAGAGGCCAGTATTGCCTTCAAACTTTACTGCACTGTTCCTATTCAGACTGTAGGCTTACTGAATGAGACAAGTGCACTGCACTTCATCAGAGGTACAAACCGAAATCTAAACCAATACTTGATACGTGATCAAGCAGAAATCTCTGCACAAATCCACACGTTAACTTCTGCAGCTCTGATAAAGTGCAGCCCACAGACCCAAACAGAGCCAGGTTGTAGATGTTTAGGTATAATGCTAAACTCTAGCAGTAGGTCTCCTGGCTGCGTCTTACCGTGCGCGGGGGTGGGGGGTTACTTTACTTTATCACATCGCATGGCGAGCTGCATTAGCTGGGGGGAGATATTTGCCGCTTGTCGACGTTATCAGAATATAGATTTGTTTTTCACCGTGTGACAATATTGATCTGTGGCGCTTAATGCATTAGCATAGGCCTATACAGCGCGATTGAGAGATCAGCAAGCCGTTTGTGACTGAGAGGATAGATGGACATGTACCGCGGGAAAAGGTGAGCAGCCAGCCAGTGAGAGTGACAGTAGTAACAGCATGATTGTAGCTCTGTTGTAGTCAGCGCTCGTTTTAGTTTGTCATTTGATAGTAATAAACACACACACAATCCCTTAAGTCCCAGAGGCATCCCAGAGAATATTTCTCTTTGTCCAAGACACATTTTCTATCGTCCCCAGGACGGGGACGCCGTTAGTCTCGAGCCCTGGTGGTGTGGATGGTGTTATACCATAGTTCTTGCTCAGTCCTCGGAGCAACGATAGGTGTCATCAACCAGTGTTTCAGTGGGTATCTACTGTCGCCAAGAAGCAGCCCGTCTACTTTTCCAGCCTCAAAATCCTGGTATAACGCACTCTCCTGGAGGATGCGTGCGTCATGTATCGATCCAGGCCATCTTGCCATCAAATTAAATATGTTGTAATAAGCATTACAAGCAATCTGAACATTGATCAAATGGTAACCTTTGCGGTTGACATACAGATACTCATGCTCAGACGGTGCCTGGATCCAGACGTGAGTGCCATCGATGCAGCCCACAATACCAGGAATGCCAGTGGCCCGGTGGAATCGGGCCTCTGCAGACTCTGCCTCGGCGGGGATTTGAGCAGATTGTGGAAGGCGACTGCTCAGTGCCAGCGACAACCTGCGGATGGCCCGACATGCGGTGGATTTGTGGACATTAATCATGTCTTCAACGGGGTTGAAAACGTAAAAACGTAGCGCTATTAACAGCTGTAATGCGGGTGTCAAGCTGCGTTGTGGTACGACACAAACTGTAAGCGGAATGACAACTCTTCAATAAGTTCATATTTCTCCGACAGAATCGGACCCTCTCAATCAGCTCCTGGTCATTGTAAATGTCTAATGGATTGCTTATGTCCCTAATAAAGCTCTCCACTCTAAAAGCCCGATCGTTGTGAAGTCTGTGTATAAGGCGCGCCATGTCTTTACTGCTGAGTTATGAAGTCGTTATTATAGAAGCCTAGATTTTGATTTTATCCCTGCTACTGACTAGGCGTAAGATTTACGCCCGGTCTTAGCGAGAAGAGGACTTAAGCCTAGATGGTGCAACTGGCGTAACTATTAGGTCGGACTTAGAATGCTGAGTTAAGACCTACTTACCTTAAGACCAGGCGTAAGCCCTTTTGTTGCAACCGGCTCCTGATGTCCAAACCTCAGAACACTGATCCACAGACCATATTAATAAGGTTACACAGTGCTTGTCCCATCGCTTTGAGAATATCCAACATAAAAAGAGGAAGACACACAACTGTTTACTGTGATCTTCTGCAGCTTAAAATCAGTTTCCACTCAAAAATATAGAAATGAACCACTTTGTGGTGTAAAAGCTGGATTGATGTTTTCAATGATCTGAGCAGCATTGTTAAAAGCATTATGTATAACCTACTAAATAGCCAATATGAAGTCTCATCGTTTGAAATCCCACCTATGATGATGGTGTCGTCCGCAAACTTCACAACAGTGAAGTGTATGTGTGTGTGTATGGAACTAAAATCAGATGGACTATGCAAAAGATTTATTTTTGTCTTCGATACAGAGAGATTCCAATCTGCAAGAGAACAACAAGCTGCATCATGGGATCACAATGGATCAGCAGAGTTTTATCCTGAACAAGCACATGGAGCAACAACAGACACCAACATAGCTGCAACTCCAAAACCTGTCAACTGGGGCAACAAAGGTATTGAAGCTAATAATATATAGCTGTAGTCATTAGGAGAAAAAAAGGTCTAGTTTGTGTTTTATAAATAAGAACCAAGAGGAGAAGTCTGGTTAAGGTACAAGGACACGGAGCAACAGAGTGATACTACTGATCTCAGGGGTGGAGGCTCAAGAGGTGTCCTCTTACTTCATGGCATATTAATAACTAATGATTATGATGTATGTTTGTATTTAATACCTGCATTAATTGCCTTGATTGTTTGTTTCAATGTCAAAATGAGCTAATTTGTTCATGTCGTGGGAATCTTCTCTAATCCAGATCAACATATGGGGGGACATGTGAAATATTTACTACTAAAGATATTGACATTGTTGTGACAGCCCTCAGGTTTGAAATATAGGCCACACATTGTAAAACCATTAATGCAGATCAAAGTAGAGTTGAGGCAAAGTATCTCCTGAGTTTCTTTACTGTCCACGTCATTGTTCAAGTTAATGACAAAAATAAAATATGGATGCTGAAGATGATGGAGTTTAGGGTTTGAAGTCTTTGAGAACAAATGTGAACAGCAAAGCGTTGCAGTGATGACAGTAAGATCTTTTTTATTTTTGGAAATCTTTTTTTAGTGATGGCAGACATTCACTTGTTTCTCTTTTACCCCACAGGCTCCCAAAATAATGGTAAACATAAATGGGAGGAAGCAGAGGTCCTCGCTGTTGAAAGACAAATGATGCGTTTAATTCAAGGACACAAGGTGCCTCAGAAAAACGACTGCATTCAGTGTCTCGAGGCTGAGCCAGAAGCGCTGAGGAACCGTTCATGGAAAGGTGTAAAGGACTACGTCAGAAACAGGATCACTGCCCTGAAAAGACAAAGTGGAGCTTCTCGGGCTACGTCCACAAACAGTAACTTGCCCGGGCAAGTGGAACCGCAGCAGAGTACCGGACAGTTCTGAATGAATCTGTTTGTGCAATTTTGCCCTCCCACCTTTTTTGTCCTTCACCACTTAACCACCCTCTGTTCCTCTTTGTCTTTCATACAGTCATCTCTTTTGCAACGTTGTGAGAGTTTCTATCCATTAGGATGAAATATAGATTGATATTTCATCTTTTCTGTTTTTATGGTTCATGGTGGCGCATTTAGACGCAGAGGCCAGTAGCGCCTTCAAACTTTACTGCACTTTTGTTTTTTATCAGTTTTTTTCCAGCTTTATTGCCAAAACACGTATGACCTATGATTGGAATACAGTCATTGGAAAAGGAAGCCAGGCTTTTGGATTAAAGAGCAGCGGACTTTAGATGATCCACCCAGCCCGATCAACCAGACCAATCACCACAGCAGGTGCAATAATCGCCCAGAGTAGAGGAAAGAGAGCCTGGATAAGCCTTAAGGACTTAAGGTTGCTCGTAAAGGTCTGGTCTGGACAAAACGGGACTCAGGTCGGCAAATCAACGATAATCAGAGACTTCATCCCAAAGCACTCAGCGTGCAGACCGTGTTCTGAGCTGACAGACCACAAGACTGGCAAGATGAGAGGAGGCGGTTTTACATTGATGATTCTTGGTGCTCAAATTAAGTCAAAATGGACACTGTTTCCCAAATGTCAGACTTCTTTATGTGAAGATAAAAAACATACTATGATCACTATCTTGTTGTTGCTGTTTACAAATTCAAAAAATGCACTGCAAAATGTTCAGGGTGTATATGTGTATGTATATAAGTGTATAAATAACTTTATACTGTTTTATTTTATGTTACCATACTTTAATACACGTTAAGTTCTGTATGTGTAGCATGAAGGGACTATAAACCTTCTTTTTGTTATACGATGATAATACGATGATAAATAAACAACCTTGATTACAGGATATCTGTCACAGTGGTTTTGTTTCGTTAAATTAAGGTAATTTGGAATAAGACGGCTCATACATACTGACGAATGATGTGTTTCAAGTGATTAAGTTTTTAGAGCTGCAAGTTTAGTTCAACCAAGTTATCTGGTATACTGTTCAGAACAAGAAGCCACAACATTCTGATGGGCTGCCCAGGACCTGCACCTGGTTCAACAGCTGCTTCACCGCAAGATGCCCAGGATATGTTAATCAGTGACACACCAACAACAAATTACCAACTTAGAGGGACAGAGCTCCTCGGGATGTTATGGCTTCTTGTACTGACCTGAGTGAAAGGAATATTATTCCAGCTAGTCCCCTTTTTACTCAATCAGTGGACTGTGTCTGAGTTTCCTCTTCAGAGGACTCATCGGACGAGTCATTAAAGGAGTCTTCTTCATCTGGGAGAGATTTCAAGAATTGCCTCCTCATCTTACTCTACCTGTTTTTTATGCTGCATCTCTTTGATTGCAAAGTGGCTGTGTTCAGTTGTGAAATGTTTGGCAGGTGAATAGTGGTCTTCAGTAAATATGTTCCTAATTGCTAACCATAACAAGTTTCTATCAACTTCTGTAGTGAATAAATATGGGTCATTTTGGACCCATGTGGGTACAATTGATGAAGGAATAAAATATGTTGGTTAATACAGCAATAAAAGGAAAATAATGATTTATGGTAAAAAAAAAAAAAAAAAACAAGATATTTAATGACTACTTTAAATATTAAATGATGAAATAACTGAATATGGGTCATCTTTGACCTGTATTGTGCAGGAGTCGAACAATTAAACAGATAGAAAATAAAAACAGATGAAAATAGGAAGTTACAGTGTAGTTTATCTGAAATGTACTTAAGAAACTCAGTATACTTTATTTACTGATGTTAGTAGTTTTGAATTCAAGTATCGCATGCTTTTACTTTGAAAGGAAAGGTGGAAATGCGTTGTGATTCCTGCTAGCGTGACTCTAACACTGCAGCAAAGGTTCAGGTTGATGAATGTAAGCGGTTATGTTGTGGCTTAAATTACAGTTAATAATGTAACAGTTTCTTATCATGGGATCTTAATTAATATAACGAAAAAATATGTGTATTGTAAAGTGAAGCGGTCGCAGAGGAGGAAATGAAGATGTTGACGAACAAGTGCCGCACGAAAAGACCACTGTTTCCGTTGATGTCCAAAGGTATCGACTCAAGATTTTTCAGTGCTTTAAATAAGATTGTTTCCCACAGATGCAGCTTTTTATTTAACCCTGTTTGTTTATGTGAAGCTGCTGGCTGTCCGGCGTCCATGTCGAGACTTTCACATACACATGATGCCTCTGTGTTGCTAATATTAACGTTATACCAACGTTAGCTAACCACAGAGTAACGATAAACAATTCAAATAATAAGCTTATATTAATAATTTCCCGACATTTTGCTTTCATAATCATGTCTGTAGATTATGTAGTTAGCTAACGTTAGTTTCGGTAACGTTAACCTGCTGAATAACGTGATATGGCAGCTAAGTTAACTGCTAAATTATCATTTTCAAATATGTAATCTCACTAGAAATTGTACACTTTGCTTGTAATTGGTTGCAAGTAGCTATAAGCTATCTGCAGTAACGACTGTCAGCGTCCGCTTGTCTCAGAAGCGAGCTGAGAATAACATCACGACCTGATGGTCAATTTGTTCATGTTTGTGTTGCCTCGTTAGATCCCGCCTCCACGGAGAAACACACCTATCAGTGATGGTTATGGAGGATGATGGACGTCCCCACAGCCAATCAGAGCCAGACACCCTGTCAGCCGTGGGCGGGCCAGAACGGCTGGTCCCCGGCTTCACCTCAAGAGCACCCCTGCAACCCTCTTCCCAGCTTTTATCATCTGAACCTGGGCTCACCTTCTGACCAGAGAACCTGCCACGACCATCTGCAGGCGTCCAACCAGCGCTGCCAGAACGACATCGCTTCATGCAGAAGCAACACTCCTCAGAGCACGCTGTATGTTAATGCTGATCAGTGTGTGCAGCCTATCACTCCTGATGCTAATCTTTCATCCGTGGTTCCAGCTGCAAGCCATGAGAGAAATATACCTCCATGTTCTCTCCCTCTTATGAACGAAGGGACGCTGACTCGCAAGCCACAACAAATGCCTTTTTACTCTCCTCACAGCCCTTACCAAGCGATATGTTCCCCTTTCCAGCCTCCGTACACACACCAGGGTTTACTGAATGAACCTCAGTCATCACATCAAAAACATCTTTCTATCAGCTCTCCATCATTTGGACAGTGTGTAAACCAGAGTCCACAGTGTACCCCACAGCCGGCATTTGAGAGGGAAAATGTGGAGGCCTCTGTCGGATACACCCACAGTCACGCCTCACATCCTCTCCTATCCAACAGCAACCTCACTGGACACTTTCACCAGGCTCTAAAGGTTGGTGTATTTGAAATGTGTACATGACATGCTTACATGCATGCTGCAGAGCCTCTCTCAGGAACTCATCATTTAAACTCAGTGACTCAGGATGGCTGAGAAAATAAATAACTTAAGCTGCATACCTGTGGCACTACAGGAAAAACACATAATAGAACAAGGACCCCTAAGCGGACACAAATTAGACCTGGACCCCTATGAAATGTTGCTTTTAGATGTTTTATTACAGAAAGTGAATGAAACCCATGATCAAAACAATCATACATTCTGCCACTGATTTACTTTGCAATTATAGTAAAAATAAATCCTTACCCTTTTTTCTGGGGACCCTCTGGAATCCCCTCAAGGACCCCTGGGCGTCCATGGACACAACTTTGATGACCACTGCAATAGATCAAGTTAACCCCATCATCCAGCGTGCAAACCACCACCACCACCATACTGATTAAAGTACAACTTTGATTCTTTCAGACAAGTGTTGTAGTCATCGATGGTATAAAAGAAGTGGACATAGTGTGACCTCACCCACTGGTTTGTGTGACGTAGACCGTATAAAAAGAATCTGAGAGAAAACAGCTCACTTACCTCGTACTCTATTCTGGTAACTCTGTTTTCTCCTCAGGAACCATAAATGAGTTTGTTCCCAATGCGACTCCACAGGACAGGAACATCACGCCACAGGTGGGGAAAATACAGGAACAGCATTAAAACTCTTTCATGTAGAGATTAATCAATACACCTGCAGATTTTATCCTTAATTAAATGCTTTTATTATCACAAAATATCCTCAAATGTGTTGTTTTGCTCAACCAACAGTCCAAAACCCAAAGAGTTTCGGTTTTCACTGCTATAAAACAGAGAAGGACAGCAAATCCCCACATTGGAAAAGCTAAAACCAGCAAATTATGTTTTTGCTTATCAAAACACAATATAAGAAAGGTTTCGGTTTTGGTCCCTCAGAATTAAAGGATGTCTTTCCAGACTCAACATTGTTGCAGTCATAGTGAATATACAGTCTAGAAAAACAAAATCTCACCGAGAATAGTATCCACGTGTAAAAGTAACGTCAAGGTTAGAGAATGAGTCGTTATATTTTCTCTCTGCAGTCTCCTAATTCTGAGTCTCGTTACGGCCTGGACCCAGAGCTCCTGCCCAGTGCTGTAAGTTCTTTCATTCTCTCTTGCAAAACATCTCTTCTTGATTGACTTCTGCAGCTCCTCTGACGATGAAACACTATTTCCTGGTCAGCGTGTTTTAGGATTTTGCCCTTAAGGATGACGACACAGCAGAGGCATCGTGAAGCATTGCATCAATTGACAAATTGAACAAAACTACTAATATACTGCATTTTGTTGACAATGAGATGAACTTTTTAGTACATGGTATGCAAAGGCTGTAACTATTGTATGAATCTAAATATTATATAATAAATCCTGCCTTTATTTAAATATAGTGAAATGTCACCATGCTATTGTTGACTGACTGTCTCTTTCTGTCTGTGTCAGGTGAAGGTGATTGCAGAGGACAGGGCAGAGTGGGAGGGCAAGGTCTTCGTCTCTGAGCCTTTTTCCCGTCTTCCTCCTCTGGCAACTACTTCCTGTCTCATAGAGGACAGGGGTAAACTCACACAACACTGCCTGTATCTGTGTCACAGAGATATACTCTATTAAAATGTATTTTATGCAGTACTATGGGTGCAGATAGTTTCCTTAAAACTGCATCAGCATTACTCACAGCATCAGTGTGACTGAAATTATTACATGCATTGATAGAGGTACATCAGGCATTGATAAAACAAGAGGACACATTCTAAGCATGTTTAATCTAAGAAAGTGGACACTTAGAAATGCCTTAGAAAACATGCATGTAATGTCTCACATCAGGTGCGTGTAAACATCTGTAATGTCTTTATCGTGGTTTGTGCTCGCTAAATGCTAAATATTTGGGTCAGACCAAGGATTATGATAATTCCTGTCTGCAATGAAAATGTTCTATTACAGTGTCTCAGATGATTCAGTCTTTTCAAATCCAATTACAAAGATGATATTTTGATGTGTTGGTCAGTTTTTTTCCCCTCTAGCCCTTCCTGTCACCAGATGGAATTTCACCGTACTTTAAGCTAACCTTCTTGTCACTCCTGACATTGTCTCTGTACTCCAGGTAACGCGAGTCCCTTTGCCATCCGCTCCGCCTCGTACTGTGTGCCCTGTGAAGGTCAGGCTGCCCTGCTCAGCCGTCTGCCGCTGGGAGCTCTGGTCACCCCTCTGGCAAAACAAACTGCTGGAGAGGTTCATTTTGAGCTACTCTGCTTTTTCTAAAATCTATAAAAAAAATATGTTTGAAATATATCACCAATAATGAACTTAACGTATAGTGAAACATAAATATCTAGGGAGATGTTTGCATGGAAGTGAAGCCATTTTGTAGAGCCACAATTATCCCATGTGCCTTTTAGATCGAAGGTTTCTGTGCACATATTAACATGTGTATTTACTGTTGGTGTGTCTGTTGCGTCTAGAAGCCCCTGCCGTTGTGCAAAGAGCCAGAGTGTGTTATGGGTTGTGGTTGGTGCGGAGCCTCCATGTGCCCGGCGATGAGCTGGCAGGACTGTGGGCAGAGGTTTTACTGTCCCTTCTGTGGGAAACTCAGCGAAGGTACACTGCAAAAACTAAAATCGAAGTAAGATTAATTATCTTAATTGAAAGCAAAATATACTTGTTTTTTGTCCTTACCAGGCGGCTTTTATGTTAGTCCTTAAGTAGCAAGTGAAATATTCTGTTGGCAGATAGTTTTGCTTATTTTAAGTTATATTTCCCCCATTTTAATGCTTTTCCCCTTGTTTTTGAGAGCTCACTTTTTGCAGTGGATTTAAAAGTGAGCATCTACCTGCGGTTCACTGTCCGTTTGACAGAAAACAATTTTTCACACTCTGTATGGTCTAATACCAAGTTTACTTACAGCGATAATATCATTTTATTTATTTAGCTCAAGCAGTGTTTTTCACAAAACATTAAAATAAAAACTATAAAAAGTCCTAAATACATTTATTTCATTAACAGTACATTCATATGAACTGAAAAAGCCAAGTTTCCACACAGTGCTAGTGTTTTGTTGACATTAAGCTGCTGGGAAGGAAGATGTGTGTAAAACCTTTTCAACAGAAAGTGAAGACAACTTTTTTTATAACTTAATTTTATAATTAACATATTCATGTTGCTTGTTTTGTTTGTCCAAAACCCCAAAAATATTTAGTTTACTATCACAGAACACAAAGAAATCACATAACTAGTGACTTTGGGGCACTTTTGCTTAAAAAAAATTACTTTAGTAACTGAAAATCAAAGTGGAAGCTGGTTATTTTCTCTCCATTGACAAATCCATTTATTGTAATTGTGTCAGCTATAATACAAATATCTGAAAATTCAAGAATTTTTAGTGTTGCCAAATTGCCTTTGAGTCGTTTTACATCAGTTTGTTGCTTTGTTTGCATACAGCAACAGTTTATCTCTCCTCTCTTGCGTCTCAGTACCGTGGCAACACTACCAGCCCACCAAAGGCGTGGAGGGGGTTCGGGTGGACAAAGACACGAGGCCTGAACTCAGTATGGGGTCATACGAGATCCTCAATTCTCAGAAGGTAAGTTTCACCTTTCGCATTTATTAGCTTTGTTTTCATGTTAAGAACAATTTCTACTTCTGCGTCAAATCTGTTTTGTAGGTACACCGTAGCCTACGCGTAGCCTCTACGCAGTAGTATGAATTGGCCTTTAATCGTACCTGGTCTCTGTGCACATACATCTACTGACGCTACTGGACACTTCTTCAGTGATGTTCCTGGAATCATTGGGTGTTTCAGGTCTTCAGGTTGTTGACCAGTCCTTCGTACTTGGCGAGCTTCCTTTCAAAGGCCTCTTCCAATCGGTCTTCCCAAGGGACAGAACCTTTTGTTTGGTAGACTCTGACAAGAGAACAACATCTGGTCTTAAGGTGGTGGTCACAATGTGGTTGGGGAACTTGAGTTGCTGCTCCAGGTCCACCAACAGCTGCCAGTCCCTCGCAGTGGCCAGGATGCCTGCAGATGTTTTTGCAGCTGGTCTTGGCTGCTCTCCAGCTCTGATGAAGGTGATGGCTTGTTTGGAGGGGCGGGAGCGCTTGGCCCACTCAACTCCTACAGCAATGGCCTTCAGCACCTGGTCATATCTCCACCTGTACCTTCCCTCTCCCAGTGCCTTTGAGCAGCAGCTCAGAATGTGTTCTAGGGTTCCACGCTTGGAGCTTGGTGACTCCACTTTGCCCCATATGTGAAGGTTTGATGGGCTGGGAAGCACATCATATACCGCCTGGATGAGAAACTTGATCCGCTGTGCCTCTGCCTTCCACATGTCACCTTCCTCTCGATTGCGTTCTTCCATCGTATCCAGGCACCCTGTTGCCTCATTCCCACTGTTCTGCAGGTTCTCTCCTCCTGGACTAGGCGGCACCTTTCCTTCCCTTTGGTGGTGTCAATGTGGGGAGTTGAAAAGGAACCAGTCTCTAATATGGGCTTTGTCAAACATATTTCAATCTGTGTGTGGTGGGAAGCAGCGGTCCGTTTCCCAAAACAGATCTGCTACAGCCTCCAAAAATAGAAATACGTTAATTAGTTTTTATATGGGACACCACATTTGTGATCTCTGTAACCTGATATGATTCAATTATTAGTTAATAAATAGGACATTTATTAGGCAGTAATACAACATATTTGGTCATTCTAGGTCCTCAAATATGAGGCTGTAACTGTTTACATTATTAAAAGACCTTTTAATAGTCTCAGAATTTCATGGGGAAAGATGCTGTTTGTGTGTAAATGTTTGTAATTCTAGGGTGAACCTGCTGCACTGCTTATAGCCTTAGACGTGTCTGCCTCCGCGCTAAGAGGAGGACATTTGGAGTTTGCAACACAACAAATACTCACTCTGCTCCACTCTCTGAAAAGGTAAAACGCCCTCCCACCTTACTGTACACACACACACACACACACACACACACACACACACACACACACACACACTCACAGCCTGCTTAGCAGTATCCCTGTGCAGGTTTGTAAATACTGTAGAAACAGGAACAATTGTACATGATTTAGTTTCCAACCAGCAATTTTGAAAGTCTCATCTTATTTGTGTAGGGAGGATGGTGAGGCCACGTCTGACGTCCGTGTTGGTTTGATGACTTATGACAGTAGGATCCACCTGTACGACCTCAGCCCCGCCCTTTCCCGCCCACACATGCTGGTCATCACAGAGACGGACGACCTGCAGCTTCCTGTGAGGGAGGGGCTTCTGGTGCCCCTGAAAGACTGTAAAGATGGTATCGACAGGTAACTGACCATTTTGTCAGATTTATTTTGCAGAGTCTGCATGCTATGATTCTGCTCATAGTTTCATTCATCTTATACGTCATACATCATCTTATAAGTAATATTTTCATTTAATGTATCGAGCTTTAAAAAGCCAGCTCAGTTTTTGCTGTCAGACATCCACTTAGAAAGAATTGAGCCCAGCAGCTAGAGGCGGACAAAAGGTGAAACAGAATTCATGGTCTGGTTTTATGGCTCGTAATGTTCTCTCATTTTTTTGCTCTCTCATAAAGGGGGTGTTTAGTATTTACAGATGTTTTGTCTGTACCCAGAAAGTAACAAATACTTCCCTGCAAATAAAAGAGACAGTTGTTTGCTGCTTTGCTGAAAATGATTTCATCACTTTGGTATTCTTTAGCGTAAAGTGATCATATCTGTGTGTGTAGTGTGTTGCAGCTCATTCCTCAGTTTAGTTCAGAGTGTGATGACTCTGGTGGAGTTCCCATGGAGCTGCCTGTCAAAGCAGGACTAGCCGTACTGCAGGTCAGTGAGTCTTCAAAGTTATTTTGGCTGGACAAGGAGGCAGAATATCTGATTATTTTGCAAGCTGTCAGTGATTAGAGGTAGAGATGTTACATCTTCTCTCAACAACTTGACTATCGTCAGGGACCTGATATGACTCAAGGGCCGTTTGTTTCTAGGCCCTGAGTTGTCCTGGCAAGCTGCTGATCTTCCATACTGCCCCTCTGATAGAGATGGGACACACAAACACGTCCTCAGGGTTCTTTGGCTCCAACAAACCAAAGGTACAAAACACTCATTCACACACACACACACACACACACATAGACTCTACAATATACTGTATATACTCCAGTCTCCATAAAATAAATTTCATCTTCCAGTGGGTGCTGCTCTTTAGCTGACGTTCCTGTACAGGTGGGAGGACAAAACAACAGCAGCATTGGGCAACAAGTATGAAGAGTTTCACAGTTGCATTTTTTCCCTCCTCTCTTGTTTTTCCCTAGTCCATCTTTCAGCCATCAGAGTTAGCCGTCTCATTGGCCAAGGAGTGCGTCAGTCAGGGCTGCGGCGTTCACCTGTTTGTCCTTGCCCAGCAAGATGTGGGCGGGGCTTGGCCGGGACACATTCCATATCTAACAGGTGGAGCTCTGTACACCTACAGCCACCTCCAGGTATATCGACAGCTGCACCCTCAGTATTACTGGATGAAGAAATCAAACTACAACAGTTGATCAGCTGTTGTGTTCTTTTGTTAAAGGAAATACGCTATTCGCTTACTTACTGAGAGATAGATGAGAGGAGTGCTTCCACTTTCATTTCTGTCTGCTAAGAAATGCTAAAAAAAAAAAGTCTACAGCCAGAGTACAAAGTACAATATTTTTAACTTGAAAATACAAAAACAGTTGCTTCCTCTTCTTGATAAATAACAGAATAAATAATGAATTGAAAACAGATGAGTTGGCGGTCCAATTGTAGACTAGTATTTTTTTCGTTTCCACTACAGGGTGAATTGGATAGAGAGCGTTTCAGCACTGATCTAAAGAGGATCGTAGAGACGGACACAGGCTACAAGGCTGAGCTCAGGATTTTTGTCAGCAAAGGTGAGATTTTCTTTTTTTATGCACACTGTGTCTTTTGAACATACCTGTGATTCCTCTGTTTGTACCTGTCTCGACAGATTTGCGTGTGTCTGGCTGTTATGGACTTTTTATTCCTGGGCCTAGCCCCGGCCAGGTCCCCATGGCGACTCTTGACTGGCTTACAACGCTGGCTGTGGAGCTCGCACACACCAGAGCTCTGGACGAGGCGAGAGGTGTAGCCATTCAGGTGGGTTGACGTTCACGATCATAGATCAGAAATGGGCTGAAGTTACAGACCTGTGGTCTGTTTTGTTGTTGTTTAACCGTAATCCTCCTCTCTCCCCTCCTGTTTGTCAGGCTGTATTGTCTTACAGCACCCAGACCGGAGACAGGAGGACCAGGGTTCACACTCTGACCCTTCGATGCTCACGTCACCTGCAGGAGATATTCAGGCAGTACCAGGCCCAAACGCTACTCACCTTCTACTGCAAAAACGTGAGGGTCTTATACTGCAGATGGTGTTTTATTTAGGCATTATACTATACTAAAAAATGCAGTGCTTATTAACATCTGCATCAGTTCTGTTTTAAATAGCAATTCATATTTAAATATTTTTATCCAATTTGGGAAATGAATAGACAGTACAGTACAAAAATATGTACTGCACCCAGTATTCAATATTATCGATATAGTATCAATATTATGTTGAAGTGATAACTTCAGTGCTATTAAACATGTCAGATAAATATTATTGCCTTTATTATGCAAATGCGACCATGATCAACATGATTTATAGATTTCCCCAAAGCTGAGATATTATTATCTATGTTCCTAAAAATTAAGACCATAGCATTTTCCATAATCATAAGAAGGTTTTTTGCAATCTAAAGCCACTTTTAGTTTGGAGTCTAGTTGAATTGTAAATAAAATGTAGAATATAAATTATGAACTGTGTGAAATGGCATTACAGACTGCCTTCCTAGTTCTTCCTTCTTAGTTATGGCATCATAAGTTTACAGTAATTGTCAAAATTAAAAAGAGATTAAATTGAACAATTAAACAAACATTAATTTGTTTGTTGTTGTTTTGGTTGGGGGGGTTTCTGTCTAGTTTACTGTGCAGTGTTGGAGCGCCCCCTACATGAGCTGAGGGAGGAACTGCAGACGGAGGCAACAGAAGCGCTGGCATCTTACCGCAAACACTGCTGCTCTGCTTCAGTGTCTGCTGGACAGGTGAAACATAAAATACACCTCAAAGTTTTAAATCCTTCCACAAATATAACTTTTTCCTTTTACTATTAAAATATAATATGCGCTTTTGTAAATGTTGTAAATGTCTAAAACATGTAAATCTTGTTATATCCCTCTGTACCTTTAAATTAAAAAAACCTAACTATGACTGGAGTTCATTTACATCTTTTTGACCATATGAACTGAACTCTGTGTGTGTGTGTGTGTGTGTGTGTGTGTGTGTGTGTGTGTGTGTGTGTGTGTGTGTGTGTGTGTGTGTGTGTGTGTGTGTGTGTGTGTGTGTCCTGTAGCTGGTTCTCCCTCAGTATCTGCGAGCTCTTCCTGTTTACATCAACAGTCTGAGGAAGAGCGAGGTGCTGCTGCCGGGGCTGAGGAGCTCCGTCCACCAGCGGCTGCAGCAGCGCTGTCAGGTGCTCAGCATGGATGCCTGCAGCACTTCCACACACTTCTACCCTCTGCTGCTGCCTCTGGTCTGTACCATCACACATGGGAGCTTGTCTTGATCAGATTTAGGATGTATCGTGCTGAAATTCTTCACTACAGAGCTACAGGAATAGTAACCAAAATACTGTATCTAGCAGTCAAAAACCCATGTTGTTTAGGAGGTATCACTGCTGATATGTCATTTAGAGAGTTTCTAAAACAGTGTCAACAAGTCTTTGTTGTCTTAAGTTGAATGATTTAAAGTGGAGCAGGTTCATGTGAGAGATACAGACGTTGATAGTTTGTGTGTGTTGTTGCCTCTTTTTGTGATAACTAACTTCATGCAGGGTTGTTTAAATGTTTATAGGTATTGATATTGCACTTTAGCGTTTGTTTTAGCCTTTGTAGCTTTGGCTAGAATGTTTTAAATCAGTAAATATGTGTCAGATGTTCTGGAGAGACTGATTTTAGTGACATTTTCACTCATTTGTAACCTGCAGCCAAACTGTCCAAACCGAGAGGAGGCACTGCGCTGCTCTGCTGCCAGCCTGGAGCCCAGAGGTCTGTATTTGGTTCACACACCCCTCACCCTGCTGCTCTGGGTGGGCACCCAAGTCCCAGTATGCACCCTGGTTGAGCTCTTCAACACCAGCTGCTTCTCCTCCCTGCCCTCTGGAGAGGTAAGAGATTAGACGGATGGAGGTATACACGTACAGTACGCTAATACAGTAATGCTGCATCTACCGCAAAGAAAATGCCTTAAATCAAACTGTTCGAATCTTTATAATGGTTCACAAACATTTCGATTTTAAAAATGAAAAAGAATGATTCCTCATCTGCTGCATCAGCTTTCCTATAAAAGTTTCAAGACTTTTCTGGCCGGCCAAAATACGCATGCAGCATCGTGAGGTTCACTGTTTGCTGTCTGTTTCTGATGTTTTTATGCGCATGTGTTCCTTCAGACCAAGCTGCCAGTTCTTGACAATCCTCTGTCCGTCAGTGTTCGATCGCTCATCAACACACTGAACTCCCAGACACCCTGTGCCCGCAAGGTGAGCTGCCGACCGTCCTGCTGTAGCTGAAGCAAAGATGTCATATTTCAACAACAGCCTCATGAGTCAGCGAACAATCTGTGACCTTAAATTACACAGTTGCTGTGTCGGAATGTGAGGTCAGTTAACATCTGCTCAGTTGCCAGCCCGGTGCTTCTCCTTATGCTCAGAAATGTGTTTCTTTATATGTGCTCTAATATCAAATGATACTTTACACTCCATAGCTGGAGACAGAGTGAACACTCCTGCTGTCTGGAGGTGAGGAGATAGTTACAGCAGACCAGCAACATGTTGTTACTCAGCATTGGCTACTCTGAGGAATTAAATAGAATTTTTCCCAGAAAAAGTTATACAGTAAGTATTTTGCTTCAGAAGTTTGATAATCTTCGACCTGTTGCAACGGTATTATTCTTATCTTGTATTTTAACCTTGCTCTGACTTTTAATATTTATATTTCTGTTTGAGATATGCGACAAACAAACAAACCTTTACCTCCAAAACTATTTCATTTGTCAAGGCTTTTTAAGCTAACAGAACCTCTGAAGGTAAATGAGAAAATCATGAAAGAGCTGCAATAAATTCCATTAAAAATAAAGGCGAAACAAAATATAATTACAGTGAGATATTTACTCAAGATCCCAGACAGTGCTGAAGCTGTAACCTCCTTGTGCACCGCCCTCCACATCCACGCCAAAGTCCCATCAGGATAAATGAATTACAGCGGGTGCTGACAGATGACGCCGCAGCCACTGACGAGACTGTGTCTGTTTCTCTGTCTCAGCTGTGGGTGGTGAAGCAGGGCGACACCTGCGAGGAGGCCCTGCAGCGCCACCTGGTGGAGGACAAGAGTCCCAACGGGGGAGCGTCCTATGCAGACTTCCTCTACCACCTCCACGTTAACTCTGTCCGGCTTCTGCAGTGACACACAGACATGTTCGGACCTCTCTGGGTGCGTTATCGCCTGCAAAAGACGACTGCAGCAGATTTACCACAAAAAAAACTAGACCAGTGGGATCACAAGTATTACTTTACTGTAAAGTAGAAACGATAAAGGAATGTTGTCAGGCAGTGCATGGGGACATTTTATGAGATATTTATTTATTTCATGACAGCTGTGATACGTGTGATATGTGAGTGACGTGTGCTGTGTTGAATGTGATTCGTGCTGTTCTGAAAATGTGTTTGTTAATTTATTCCTGTGTCATGACAATTCTCTAATCCCTGCCTGAGATGTGTGTGTGTGTGTGTGTGTGTGTGTGTGCGTGCGTGTGTGTGTGTGAGATGCCCACAGTATGTTCTGTGTGTGCATAATCTCATATAAATAAATAAAGGCTTTAATTGAACCTTGATTGAAGTGTCTTCCAGTGTAGTTCTGCTGAGAAGATTTTTCAGTGTTTCATGATCATCAGTGGAAGAGTTTTCTAATTAATGCTTGAGAGGTGAAGTCGCATCTTAGACGTCATCCCGCAGGATCAGATGAATATGTGACTCAGAAAGCCAAAAGTGCCAGTGTCTAATGAGTCCAAGTGGCTAATCAAACTAATTTGCAGGAATTATTATGCAGGGGCTGAGCTGGAAGGGGGTGGGGGGTGTCACAAATTTGATAGGCCAAAGACAAAGCATCTACAGCCATGGTGGAGGTTGAGTGATGTTGTATTTGGGCACAGCAGTGCTTGGAGCTAAAGGCTAACACATCTTAGTTTAGCGAGTTAGCGTGCTAACATTAAACACAAAGTACCCGGGGTGCCCCTTTTGTTTTGGCCACGATCCAAGTCTGAGTCTGATCCCATAATTGATTAAATATATTTTTGGCACACTAAAATAACAGCTGTAGCTATTTAAAACATTTAAACTCATTTTAACAAGCTGTAAATACTGAGGGTCCTGATTCAAAACTGTAAAGATGAAAAACTTAAGTTATTGGTATATTAATGAAAGTTGGATTTTGCCATCAAGTTTCTCACAGAATTATTCTTGATTAGCGACAGCTGATATAATCTGCTGCCAGCGACGTTTATCCAAATGACAAGCAATGCCACTGAATAATTTTTCACATTCACACAATCCTAGTTTTCACTCGCAGTGTAGACCCCGGCTGTCAGCAAGGAGAGCAACGCTACAACACCGACAGGCTGTGGTGGACAAACCACTGTAGAGGCTGCATTTTAGTCGATACCCATCCATGAAAATATGCCTGAATCTGCCCCGATGCCGATCCTCAGGCTCAACTCAGCACAGCCCTACAAAGTACAGCTGAGGATGGTGGAAGTTGCTTTGCAGGTATTTAGTCATAAATCAAAGTGTTGGATGAACTGAAATGTTGACCAGATGATGGCGTTGGAGCACAAGTTAAGGGAACACCAAAGTTATCCTCCGGGCAACATGTTTGTCTGTCTGGCAATTCATCCTGAAGTTGTTGAGATATTTCACTCAGAACCACAAATGTGAACCTCATGCTGGCTCTAGATGAAAAAAGTCGGGAAATAACTAAAGTCAGTAGGCGTCATGCTGTGGGTATCATGAATTCCTGTCCGCCTGTGCGAAGAAATTCAGTCATCCATTAAACACTTGTTGAAATATTTCAGTCTGGACCAAAGTGATGGCTGACCAAGATAGCCAATTAATATTCTTTCAAACTGCTGAAATGAGTCTGTGTGGTTAGGATGCTGCTGGAATATGTTTTGGGGGAAAACAAACCCTCCTAACTGTTGGTTGCAGTTCAACTTTGATGCACAAAAATTGACTTAAATGTAATTTTCTTGCAAGGTGCAGTTTTAGACGGAAGTGCTATAGAGAAAGAAAAGGTGTTTTGATGGTGATTTGATTTACCGTCACTTTTTTTCATCTGATAAATCATTAAACGGAAGTCAGAGTCAATACAGAGTCTTTTTTTTTTTTGGTTAACAGGAATCGTTTCCAAATGCATTACAGTTAATTTTATCTCCCAAGTCTCATCTTTACTTTGTGATCTCTGCCAAACCCTGATCACACAGCTTTTATTTTTGGATTTAGTTGCTTTGTATCTTCCCAAATTCATACTATTCAAGTATGATCACTGTCTATGACAGTCTGCGAGGCCTCAGTAATCACCATCTGGAGCTTACATGATGTTTTTATATACAGCACCATGTCACAGCTTCATGGGCACTCTGAAAAAACAGGCCACAACACTTCAAATAAGTTATTTTGTTTCCTTCCGAAAACCTGCCAGCCACTTAGTTAATGTCTGTGTGCTTGTTGGCAGTGTGTAGGATGTCCTGGTTTGTTGAATTTGTATCCTCAAGCATTTTTGGATGCAGCCCAGCTAGATTGTGGTGGGATCATGCTGACTGAGAGGATGTGGGCTGCCGGAGCAGAAGTTAAACTACAGGAGCTCTATCTTTGACACTTTATTTTAAATCAAAGAGAAAGTTTTTCTTTTCTTGAAGAATTTAAAATATGCATTAAATAGATCAAATCAATGAAGAGAGATGACACCGTGTCAAGATAATGTAGACTGTACTCATGTTCTTGGTAATATGTCTACAAATATGAACACGAAGAGGAGTTTATATTCTACGATTACACATATCACACGTGTTGTTTAAAAGTGATTATGATAGTATTTAACTAAAATAATATTATACAAACATATACATTTTAATACAATTGATGGACACCTTCCAGCATTGCATATGTGTTGACAAGTGTAGAGGAGGATTTGAAACAACATTTAGACAATAATGTGAACAGTTAAATGACAAAAACAGTGACAACATGTGTTTTTGTGTTAATCCTGTGTTTTTTTACAGTTTGGTTGGTTGGCTGTAAACACTCTTCTAGTTGTTGGTTTGCTTCGACCCCTGAGTGCACAAAGAGCAGAAAGCAATTTTGCATTGTGATATACTTTTTACATTTGAACACAATGCAATTAACATGCAACTGAATATTTATCATGCAATGAAATCCAAATTCTGATGCCTATTAGTTATTAGTATTTCCATACTAATAACTAATAATAATATTGCTATAGTGGCCCATTTCTCTGCGTCCTGAATTTAATAGTGATATTTGACTGTATTTTCTGCAGAGCTACCAGAGCTTCTGTCTCAATTATGTCTTTCTGAAATTAATTTCGGGTTTAATATAAAAGTCTTTCTGCAATGTTTTGTGGATTAAACCGTGTCACCAGCTTGAATCCAGATAAACACCTTCATCCACAGCACACATGGCGGCACGCTTTGAAGGCACAAACCAGCTCACTCATATTTGACCCTATTTGGAAATACGCACCGTGCAGCCGGGAGGTGTGTTCGATTGCGTTGCCGCGCTTTGCCGTTGCGCGGTGTGTCCACCAGAGAGCGATTCCTCCACCGCAGCTCAGCAGTGAAGCTGCAACCAAATCAAGCGGACTTTTGTCAAGTCAGGCAGCCTTATCCGCACAAGACCGGAATATAAGTGTTTTTTGCCTTCAAAATAAAGTGCAAAATTGCCGCTAAAATGACTAAAACTATTAAAGCACAGAAATTCTCAAGTAGAAAAGGGCGGGTAAACTATAACATCCTCTTAATTATCATTACAAATTCAAATAAATAAATAAAAATATTAAAGCAAAGACTTTCTCAAGTAGAAAAGGGCGGGTCGGTGATCATTACAAATTCAAATTACTAAATAAAAATATTAAAGTAGTTCCATCTGGAAAGTGTCCCGGGAAAAACTTTTTTTTCAACGGAAACGGTGGTGTTGCCTCGAACACCCTGGGTGAGTTCAATCTCAAAACGTTTTATTATTTTATTTATAATATTATTATGCACACAAGATAATAAACAACTAGCTAGTTAAAAAAGATTTTTGGGGCTTCAAGGGCTCCATTTTAAATTAAATTATCATCAGAGTCAATTCAACAACCTCCATAAAAACGGCACGTTTTATTGAAGTCCTAATAATGAGCACTTTAATTTCAAAGCTGCGTTTTATTCTGGAAATCCCAGCAGCAGGAAGTGACTTTACTTTGGTGGGCCAGCTTGACTACGGCTCGGTTGAGCGCGGTCGCTGTCAGATGTTGGTGGAGAGAGACGGAGAGTGAACACCCACCCTGGTCGCTTCGTCTTGTCCGTATCAAACCCTCCTTCTCTCGGCGCCTGCAACAAGGCACTTCACCGCTCCTCCGGCCGTCTAGCTGCTGGGCGGACCTGTTTTTCAAACGCACATTTAGCGCCTTGTAACCGCAGTTTTTTTTTTTTTTTTCCCCCGGAGCTGTCAAAGTAGAAGCAGCGAGAGACAGGGGAGCGACATGGCCACGACAACCTGTACGCGATTCACAGACGAGTATCAGCTATACGAGGAGCTGGGGAAGTGAGTACCAGCTGTTTTAATGAGTTTGTGTCCGCTTGTTTGTGGGAGGGTTGCAAAGTGTGAGGTGGATAAAGAGCAGAAAGGCTGGTTTCCACAGGCAGTGCAGAGCTGAGCGTCTGTGCAGCTCAGCAGTGCTGTGTGTGTGTGTGTGTGTGTGCGCGCGCTCTCAAAATATGCAGCTCGCTCTTTCTCAGTCAGTGTCTCACACACAGATTCCTCTTCTCAGAATATTTTGACATGTACGTTTCGAGATTTTTAAAAAACAAAAGAACAAAAACTGGCAACAATATTTGCACTTACATGTTTGTTTCACCTTGAAATGCAGAGAGACGTCAGAAATGTCTTGTGGTGCAGCTATTTGAACCACAGATGAATAGGAAGGAGACTGCGGTTCATTAAAAGTATTTCTGTTTTCTCTATAAGTAACAATTTTTAGGCCTTTACAGGGAGCTTGCATTCAGAGCTCTTCAGATGTGGTGAATACAGTGGATATGTGTGAAGTCTTTATGGCTGCTCACATGACGTTTCTGAGTGGTTTGACCAGATATCCTCTCCAAGAGTCATTAGATGTCATCTGCAAAGCTAGAAAGCAAAGTTCTGTACAAATAAACCCATCCTTGTGGCCATTTTGATATTTTTCTTTATTGTCTTTCTGAAAACCTAGTTTTCATTTGACCTACTTTTTTTTTTTTCATTTAAAATGTGTAACTAACGTCATCTAGATGTACATGTGTTATGTAGAAGTAGTTTTACAGGTCTTTTTTGTTGCACATTTTGGGAAGGAGTGGCAACTCTCTCTGCCTTTTTTTTTTTTGCTTCATTGTGGTGGCAGATAACACAAGATAAGACATTCTGCACACACCGTCCATCTCCGTTTAACTGTATTAAATGTGTGCATGCACACATTTCTTTGTCAGAGGGTCTCTAATGTCTTGGAACAGACACAGTTTGTCCTATCCATGAACCATGTCAGTCATAAATTCTGCTGTAGCACCACAGGAGATTGAAAAACAGCTTGAATGTCATAAAGTCACTTAGTCCTCTCTGTTCTTAATAAGTATGAGCTCCCTGTACAACATGTATGTTAGTCATTGTGATCATCATAAGAGATGAAAACGAACATGAAGGTCAGTGAGGTCACCAAACGCACCTCTGAGCACTGGAGACGTAGTTTCAGTCTCTGTGCTGCAACATTATAGTTGTTCTGTCATTACGACGGGGCAGGGGAGGAGGGAACAATAAAGAAATCACTCCTCATCAGACGTGCATCGTTTACACGGCTGACGTAGAGAGTCGTGCATCTCGCTGCTGTTGTTTGATTATCATGCACATCACTCGTTATTTACTGATAGCTTGATTGTCCCCTTACTGTTTTTTTTACAGCCACCACGGGCATGATAATTGCAACAACAAAATATTTAAAACACATTGTACAACCCAGTATTTATGGGTTTCATGGATTAAAGGTTAGGCTCAGGCAGGATAATTAATGCACGATGAAACGGCAAACTTTGGGGAAGGGGGTTTGCTTGTTTGTTTGTTTTGTGGATGTACCCACTTACCTTCAACCTGCTGTTTTGCTGTGTTTCCCAGAATGCCTTTTGACAACCTGAGAGAGAATGAGCATCCATTTATTGCTTGATTTATTGTCAGGTCTCGATACTAAATATTTTGCACAAGGACTGACTAATAAAAAGTTAATTAAATGTTTTAAACTGCTTGCATTGAGTGTTTGCGTAGAATTTGATCATTTGCAAAGTTAAAAGGCCTCCAAAACAGCAGTCAGACCATCTGTTGACACTTAAACTTGCTTTTGAAAGTGGGTTTCGTATATATTTTAAGGTGTTAACAGGTCTTAACGGCAGCTAATGTGACATCTGATCTCTTCTGAGGCAGGTGTAACTCACATCTGTGGCAAGTCAACTGACATTATTAGATTTTAAATTAATAAATATGCCAAGAGGAAATTAAGTAGGGGGCCCTGTTGGCTTCAACAGTGCCTCTGAAATGCGGCTGAACAATTAAACAAAATCTTATTGAAATTGCAACATGGCCTAGGGCAAAATGTGTGTCAAAATCGCATGTCGTGCTGCAGAGATGTCCTGGCCTACACATCATATTATACAGACTTGACCTGATACAGATCCTTGCAATAATCACCTGAATATGTTTTTCAGTGAAATGAGAATAGGGATGAAAAAATCATCATTCCCTCCAATATTGCAAATCGTAGCGCAAATGCAATATCAGTCAAAATAATTGCAAATAGATCTTTTTTCAAAATCGTTTAGCGATACTTTGAAAAGATAGTAACTTGCTGCAGTGAGCTACAAGTTAGCTAGTTGTAATCAGCTATGTCTGCTTACAGTGGTTATGAGCAACAAACATCTAACTGCCCTAGTAAACAGAGCCTGACCGATAAATCGGTGTGCCAATTATTATGCATTAATAACATGAGCTAATTTCAGATACATCATTGTTTATAACAGCCGATAAATGACCGTTAAAAAAGAAGCGTGAAGACCGATCCTTCAGTCATGTTATGAGTGTTGTGATTGCACAGTTTGTCCACCAGAGGGCGCTCTGCAGCATCTCTGTTGGCAACACAGGTGTGGTTGGAATCCACAAAACTTTGTTAGGGATAATCTAGTTTATGTTATGTGTTTTGAAAAAGAAGAAGAATATCGGCAGATGTATCGGAATATTGTATGTTCGTTAATCTTAACAGAGCCATATCGGTCGGGCTCTACTAGCAACACACGAAAGCTGTATATTTTACATTGTATTGGCATATTTGTGTGAAAATATATTGTTTGGAACAGACTGAACATAAGGATTGATATCAGAAAGGGGAGTCGGGCTGTAATGAACTGAGAATTGTGTGTTTTGGTGTAGCTCAAAACCACAGACTGATTTAAAACACTGCGTCCCAGCCGTGCTCGTTCCCTCCCATAAGTAATAAATATTCTTAGCAGGGAAGGTTTTGCCTGTCTGACTCCAATATATCCCATCCCCAGTGAGACCTCACGTTCCTTTCTCTTGATTTAAAAATACATTGTGAAGAATGCAACTGATCAGATGTGTAGGCCTCACTACAGTACACTGCCGTCAAAAGCTCTGGCTTTGAAGCTCTCTGTGCGAAAAAGATTAATCTGCACGCCCTGCACTGCAAAATATCTTTCATAGAGCACTCTTATTATCCACCCAGTCACATGAAGCTCGGAGGAAAGAGCGCAGGTGTGATTGGCTCGGCACCCTCATGATAACGCTCTCTGTAACTTTGTTATACTAATCCAACATCTGAGGAGGAGAGCTAATTGTTCTCTCTCTCTAAGGGTGTCACTTCCTTAGCAGGGCTTGTGACATTTAAGCACTGTGTCTTTACTTTAGTATGTTTAGCCCATTTATTACAATATAATATCTACCATACTTAACTATAATCACCACAGCATGCATCAGCAACAATATTAAGTACTGTACATGTGATTTACTAAATGGGATGAGCTATGCTAAAACACTTAAAATGACTTCAGTGGTTTTATTAAATGTTTGTGCCATAGGGTTTCAGAATGTTTATATATTATTTCCCATATCTGCCAGAAAATAAAATGTTAGAAAGATAATCAAATATATACTTCCTCATTTTAATTCTTGATAATTATAATTTTAAAAACAACATCCTGCAAACCATGCACTCAAGAAGCATTTTCACGTCTAGGAACAATAATATAAACAGCCATGCAGCCTTGAATGTAGCTTCCTGTCACAGTTACTCACTGAGAAACACACCCGAAGGGCACCTCTCAAACGTCTGCCCTAAAAAGAAGAAAGCAGAAAGATTAAGAAAAACTCTTTTTTTTTTCCTTTAACGGTTTTTATATCACCCTGTTTAGAATCAAGGTTTTACAGTGTGCATTCACAAATCCTACAGTGCGTAATTCTTCTACATCATTGGCACCTTGTGAGGCCGTAACCAGAAGCTCAGAGTTATCCGGTTACAACGCTTGACTGCTGAAGGCACCAATGTTTTTCAAAAATAATTTGAGGTCCATTTAAATCCCTCCCTGTCTGTCCACTGTCTAGGTGTCAAACCAGACTTTGAAAAGCAGTGATTCATGACCTTTTACTTTATTTAACTCTGTGTGTGTGTTAAAGCATATTTAGCTCCTATGCTAGAAACTTACCTCACGGAGTGTGAACTTTCCAGGCACTGCTTTGGAGCTTGGTGTCAGTAATGTATGTCTTTTCTGTGTGTGTGCGGTGTGATTGGTGTCGCCCCTGTAGTGCTTGGACACAACTGTGTGTTGCATTTTAGGTCATATTTTGCCACAATGCGCGTGGTCACTAAAGAAAAGACAGTCCTGACCCTGAGATAGGGCATTTTAAACTTTTAATCAGGTGCTGAAACTGTATTGAAACACCCTGTGAATTCTGCTGGGGTTTGTGTCTCCACATAGATATTTCTGCTCAGTGTCAGCTCATCAGGTCAGCTCGTCTCTCAACTTTCCCCTTTGACCCTGACCTTGTTGCTTGTCTGTAACTGTCTCAGTGTGGAGGCAGACCAGTGGCACCAGTTAACCTTTTACTGTCAAAAGTGGCAGTAAGACTGGGGCAGATCTAACTAAACAGGCCAGTTCTCTGCAGAGTGGGTTAGGGTCAGTTCTGGATACTCATATTTTTGTGTTGAGACTGCTGATATTCGGGATGTTGAAATGTGACATTTCTATGGCAAAATACATCTAGATATTCAGTATTTCCAGTCAGTTTTGTTTACATTTTCACGTTACAAGACACAGACACAGTGGATACTTTGCAAGCTCGGACCAGGTAAAGCGACAGTGAACACACCAGCGCAGATGTCATTTGTTAGCTACAAGGTTGGTTTTGTTTTCATAGGCTACGTCATTAACAAGCCTTCAACACATGTGGTGCACCTGCTGCTGTAAACCGAATCCCGGGTGGAAAAATCCAGAAGAAGACGCTCTGTGTCTTTTCGGTGACTTTATTAAACTTAGAGAAGGTCAACAAAGTGGACGCATGCAGGGAGAGAGAAGTGCAGCAGAGGTGTGTGAGTGTGGGGAAAGTAGAACTGAGGGGAAAGGGAGCAGATTTAAATAAGTGAGTAAACGCTAAAATATGGTGGAGAATAAATTAGATTTAAAATAGGGAAATAAGAAATAAGCTACTAGAAATTGAAAATATACCCCGCTAACACCACTCTGATAATAATAATTTTCCATTATATGATGATGCAATGAGAGAAGCACAGAAATATGGTATCAATTGGACCCCCGGTATCAACCTGTTTGTCTTTGGGGTGTGACAGAGTTGTCCACTGATAATAGTAAATGCCTTTTCTGTGTTTTTACAGGGGAGCCTTTTCAGTGGTGCGCAGGTGTGTTAAGCTGTGTACAGGACAGGAGTATGCTGCAAAAATAATCAACACCAAAAAGTTATCTGCAAGAGGTAAGCACGTCCATACTGTATTTCCGGATCATTCCGTCAGAGCACAACACTGGAGATGAAACCAATGTGCTCTGCTCTGAAACCAAAACTGTATAGCTGAATTTCACTGTTATGTCATTTACTAAAAGTACAATGTGTAACCATTCAAGAATGACTAATTTGTTCATAGTTCCTCTGTCCCAGTGGTCACCTCCCCACCTGCAGTGTAGACAGTTATATAAGCGGTCTCTAACAGCAATTACCCCCTCAGATGGTGCTGCGTAGGACAACATTTTATCACACTGGGGTCTGTGTATGAGAAATGGAGGGCAACGGAACAGTTACAGAAGCTTGTGATAGCAAAGTAGAAACGCAGCTACTGTTGTACTGCGATGGCCTCTGGTGATGGCCCTACAGAGGGCTTTTCTGAACACCAGGCTCACCTTTTACACACCCCCTGAGATGCCGCTCATTCTAATTGATGAATCCAGTAGTTTTAAAGCTATGTCATGCAATAAAGGTTCCCATCATCAGATGGGCTCTCAAAGTACCCAGGGGACGCATGGCTGGGGCAGGGCTAGAATTCTCATCCATCCCATAAGCAAAACCTCCTTCTTGGCCCAATTGGTTTTGTTTGTATGTAAGTGTATACTTATACCACACAACCTTTACTGGCGGGTTGGAGTTGAACTGGTGGGGATAGCTTGATACGTCCTCCCATCGAAGTTTATGACTGACAGGTAAAAAGAAGCGAATGGTGACACCATGTGTCACAGACGGATCACATTTTGACTTATGTTTTGCAGAGCAAACACAGCAGTAATGATACCCTCTGCAGTGTAAAGGGAATTCGGCAATCCAAAGTGTCCAAAGCTGAAAATCAGAAACATAAAATGTGTAGAAAATAGTAGATATATTTGGGTTTTGGACTGTTGGACAGACAAACAAATCACTTTGAAAGTGTCAAATTGGGCTCTGGGAAATTGTGATTGGCATTTGTTGCTATTTCTGACATTGTACTGATGATGCATGTACTAGAGCTACAGTCGAGAAGAATCCTTCTTACATTTTGTCAGCCGATTCACTGCACTTTTTTTACGTTGGCTGCTCAGACTCTAAGCACTGGTGATGAATTCTAGTGAAGTCTGCTGAACTAGGCTACTTCTGAATCCAACGCTGGTACAACCTCTCCTGTTGTCCAGCGTGAGGAACTCTTTAGCGCAGTCAGTAGACAGACAAGACAAAGTGCACTAGGATTTTAAAACTACACTATGACCAACGTTTCTTCGAACATGAGACTCATGTATGCTATAATATGAGTTTAATATAATATGAGTTTAATATGAGATGGCTGCTCTGCAAATCAGCTGAACACACACTAAATGGGCAGGGGAGTGAATAGTAGTGAGTAGAATAACATTTTTGATCTCTCTGCGTGGCTGAAAGATTTCCTCCTCTTGGTACCACCAACGCATCCTGCCACTGTAGGAAAGGTTAATCTCTATTGCTTTTCCTGGTACTTTTCCATTAAATAATCACTACATGGAGAGACTTTTGTAAAAGCACAAAAGGCTCTTGAGTTTTTAAATGTTAATTACTTCTAAATTTGGTGATGAAAAGCTTCCTGCACTGTTTTTAATAACTGGACACATAACTGGGAAAAAAGCTCAGCTAAATGCTTCAAATGTAATGTACTAGGCTTGGATGGTATCTATTTTTTCATACATTCATACCATCCTGACATTTCACATGATGATTTTTGTGGGGAAAAAAAATAAAAACTGAGCTGCTGGCAATAGAAGCCATTGTAGCATGCTGGAGTGTTTCTACTTTAACCACTTGTTTAGCGCCCCAGAATCATTTCACGTGGCGCTACTTAGCCAATCAGATCTGTGCATTGCGAGTCAGCTCAGTGAGTGAGATACTCCCTGTGGGGAGACGAGATGGGAGACAATCGCAGAAATAAGTGAGTCAGAGAAGCAATTTCACATGGCGTGCTCCAAAAGACAGCAAAAAGAGAAATCAAGCATGGACAGATTCATGTTCGCTCTTCCCACCGGCAGACTGTGGCAGTTATTAAAAGCGGAAATGTGAAGCGCCACTAACGTTATGAGAAAAAGTACAGAGCAGCTTCAAGCAAACATACTCACTGAAATCCAAACTGAGGGCACAACAGAAAATAAACATCTACGATCAGTCCACCAGAAAGAGGCTGATACCGCCCAAGTCTATAATGTAAAAATGTTTTACTAAATAAAAAAAGACATTTCAAGCACCTTAATTAGTGTCATGCTGTGCAGCCAGTAACGGTTTAAGTCAAAGCCAAGGCTAAATGCCATGGCTATGAAGACCAATCCGGCAGCACAGTGGCTGCTGTGGCTCTTCTTGCCCGGTGTAAATCTCCTGCCGCCCCTGCAGCCTCGTAACTGGAGCCCCACTGTCTGGGTCCTGCCAGGTGGCACCACACTTGACTATTAACTGGCCTTCACACACGCACACAAGCAGTGTCCCTGTTTGTGTTTGAAAACACTGAGTGTGGCAAAATAGGCGTTAGCAGAGGGCATCAACCTAGAATGTGTGGCCATAACTGTTGTCTCTTAAATGTTACTCTCAATTACGACTGTAGGACTTGTCAGAATGGAGACACTTGGAAACAGTGTAGTGTTACTACATAAATTAGATAATGGTGTAATGCACTTTCGGCATTGTATTTCAACATAATATTTCCAGCTAATGAATATTGCAACAATCATAAAATTTTGTACAGTGAAAATACACATGGGTTTGTCAGCCTTTTAAGAGGTTTGTAGAGGATATCTTTTTCAGCTGTTTCAGCTTTCTTACTTGGCCATGACCAAAAATCATGGTTCAGCTTTAATGTTTTTGGTTCACGGTTGGACAAGTGGGTCAGAAATCTACTTGTCCAAAGCAACAGCAGGCAGCTGTTTTCAGCAAAAAGCTCTAAAAACCGACCGTACACTACCTGCATTACAGCAGACAGAAACATTTTGGGACTAACTGGTGAAAATAGTGAAGCATTTGGCAGCTAACAACCTAGATGCTACCCTGAGGAGCTGGTAGATACTAAAAACAGAGCTAAAGAGAACATTCGCCAGGTGACCAGAAACAAAATATCAGTTATTGCAGGTTTAAAGTGTTTGTCTTTCTCAAATTGATCCATTAGTTAACCATCTTAACGTCCAGCATGTTCAGTTTTTACTTTTGTGCTACTGTCATGTAATATTTTCATAGTGCTGGGTTGTGTGTCCTCAACAACATGGAAAAAACTAGAGCTTGTATTAGAATTTTACTTTATATCAAAACAAAGAAATAAAAGAGAAAAAAACCCCCAAGATGACAAACTACCATTTGTAAAATCTACATTGTTATTTACATGCTTCATTCTTGGCAGCACTCTTTTCATATTTTCACTATCTGTCAGTGCAAGCAAGCAGCTTTTAATGAGATTAAACCCATCCTAGATTATCCTGATGCGATTAGCAGGGGACTAACAGTTAATCCCAGTGATTGGCTTGGTGAAAGCTAAAGCAACACAGAATAAATAATTCACCTGTAGGTTTCAGTATGATTGGACCTATACATATCAGGGAGTGCAGCTGCTTGAAGCTTTCCACCATATTTCTGAGGCACAGCATGATCTTTCTACATTTGATAGGAGCACTGATCTGACCTGACTGGGTGGTGCGCGAGGCTTGTGCTGCGCTCCTTACTAATGGATGAGCCATGTTCCATAAAACAGCAGTGCAATGTTAGAGCCGGCAGAGCTGCTGCATACTACTGCTATTCCAGGTCCTATTTATAGCTTCATGACCTATCTGACATGGGCTGCTACAGTCGGGTTTAATGGCAGCCATCATCACGATCACTTGCTGCTCTACTTTAGTGGTATTTGGTTTAGGATGTTGTAATATTTCTCAGGCAGCAGTTAAGATCGGTGAGCTTGGAGCCCTGGTTGCAGTAAAGAGGAGAGTTTGTTTAGGACTGGCAGATGGAGATGGTAGCTGAGGGGAGGGAGGGGTCAGGCGAGAGAAGGCACCCCAGGCACTTGGCAGCTGAAGGCCATGTGCCTGTACTCCTACATGCCTTTAGCACGGGACTCTCATCTGACTCTCTCTCTCTGGTTCTCTTTGACACTCATGAAGATATTTAGATGATAGCAGAGGAGTTGAGACTAATGCTCAGTGGGTTAGGTTAGTTAATAATCCATTATAGCTACAACAAGAAAAGACTAAAGATTTCTTGTTTGTTGTAGCCTAAATACTTGAAGCCATGATGATTCACTGACTCACAAGTCATGAATATTGGTTATGATATTAAACATTTATAAATAATCATAGTTGCAGCCTGTGTGTGTGTGTGTGTGTGTGTGTGTGTGTGTGTGTGTGTGTGTGTGTGTGTGTGTGTGTGTGTGTGTGTGTGTGTGTGTGTGTGTGTGTGTGCAGAATAAGATACAATGAAAATCTTGTACATAATATTAACAAACACAGCCAGGTTTCCCCTCTGTGTGTAACATCTTCCAACCACCCGACCCCCTTGCAGCAGCAAACGTTTAATGCCAATCCAACACATGTCAAGAGGAAATGTAGGACAGGTCTGTTGGGCGAGGCCTCCGGCCAATCGCAGAGCTTGTTTATTGGCAGTGCTCTCTGGACAGGGGTTTCCAGAGGTTGCTGTATGGCCTGGTTATTTATCATCAGAGAGAGTAGTTGCACTTGTGTGCCTGTGTGTGTACAGGTGTGTGTCTTTATGTGTGTGTGGTGTTTGAGATTCACCTGCATTGCAGCAGGAGGGATCTGACCTGGTTTGGCCAGCCAGCTTTGTGTCAATGTCAAATAACCAGGACAGATGTAGTCACCTTAGTTGAATGCGTATTAAACCTCAGTTTTAAGCCTTTTTATAAAGTCAGATCACCTTAACTGTAATTAAATCCTGATTTGTTGGTAATTCGTACTTTATTCCTACCAATACATACAGTCTACTTGTATGCTAAGATTTAAAGC